GTCACCATGTTCGGACCTGCGCGCCTCTCAGCATCGCCGATGCTGACCAGTCACCAGATACGACTCCGCCCTTATTTCCCAGGCTACCTATAACGATGCCACCAACTTGATTCCGCCAGCAGGGCTGCGCTCCTCCTCGGACCCAGCCCTGACAGCCTTTGCAGAGCTCGGCGTTCTACGGCTCAATGCCAGCCGTGCCCTCATCTCGCTGTTTGACACCAAGTATCAATACATTATTGCCGAGGCCACCCCGTCTCTGTCGCTGACACCCAAAACCAAGCCCACAGGCCTTGGTCCTGGGGAGCATCTGCTGCTCTCCGGTACAGCCCTGCCGCGCTCCTCTGGCATGTGCGAGCTTGTACTGGTCGCCCCGGAACCCTACGATCACGCGTCTTTGCAGAACGCCGAACTACCAGTGACTGTGATCCCCGATCTTTCAAAAGACCCCAGGACGGCAGGGAGACATCTCTGTCTTAATTCAACAGCGAACCGCTTCTATGCTGGTGTGCCCCTCCGATCAAAAAATGGCATTAATATTGGCGTCTTTGCCGTGCTTGGGGATACCTCTCGCGAGGGGCTTGACGACGTATCGACACGCCTCATGCGGGACATTTCCCTCGTCATTGTCGACTATCTGAACGCTAAACGTAACGAAGACGATCATCGCCGTGCTGATAGAATGGTCCGCGGCGTCGGTAGTTTCATAGAAGGCAAGAGCACCATGTCTGGTTGGAGGCTGGGGAATAACCCGAGTTCATTCTACGACCACCCCTCCCTCGAAGGCGGTCTCAACAAGAACCAGCAGCACATCCAGCAGGAAGACGGGTTGGACACAGCCAATGCTTCCCCTCAACAGCAAGAAGCATCTTTGAATGATTGGAAGGAATCAACAGAATACCTGAAGGCGACAGGGACCCATGGGCGGACGAGCGATGAAGCGTTTGTGCCGTCTGTCTCCGGCGAGTCCGCGAAAAACGCTCGAAATGCGCCAGATGGCTCAGTGCACGAAGATCGGGGCTCTCACGATGCCCAGCTGCGCCACATCTTCTCAAAGGCATCCAACGTCGTTCGTGAAGCCATCGAGGTCGAGAGCGTCTTGTTCTTGGATGCCACTATTGGCTCGTTTGGTGGGTTGGCCGAATCCAAATCTGTCCATGTCACGTCAACGGGTGCCAAATCGCCGTCGTCGTCGTCGAGCGACGAGAAGAGCAGTTCAGGCACAGGGAGCAGTGACCATAGTTTCGTCAGCCGCGAAGAAGCCACCTGTCGTGTGTTGGGTTTCTCAAGCTCGGCCGTATCAAGCATCGACGGCGACCTGCCTTCCCAAAGCCAGGCCTCCGTATCCGAAGAGTTTCTCGCCAAGCTACTACGACGCTATCCTGAGGGCAAGATCTTCAATTTCGACGAGAACGGCACCATACAGTCGAGCGACCTTTCTGGCGACGATCACAGCTTGGTCGTGCAGACGCCCGTTGATGATGTACCCGAGCCTCCACTAACACCGACTGGCAACAAACGCAAAAGTCGGAGGCGACCCAAGAACCCGTTTTCGAGGCGCAACGAAGGAAAGCTTCTCGGTGATATCTTCTCGGGCGCGCGGAGCATTGCGCTGGTCCCCCTTTGGAACGCCCAGAAGCAACGTTGGCATGCCGGGGGTTTTGTCTCCACCAAAACCCCCACGCGGGTTCTCACCATTGAGGGAGAGCTCAGCTATCTACGGGCATTTGCGGCGGCTATAATGTCCGAAGTTCATCGCCTCGACTCGATGCTGGTGGACAAAGCCAAGACGGACCTCCTGAGCTCCCTTTCTCACGAACTTCGATCGCCGCTGCACGGCATCATCCTCGGCTCGGAACTGCTTCACGATACGCCCCTGGATGCATTTCAGGGCGAAACGCTCGTATCCATCGAGAATTGCGGACGCACCCTCTTGGAGACCATTGATCACCTTCTCGACTGGAGCAAGATTAACAACTTCATCAGCCCGTCGAAGCGTCGAAGCAGCACTGCTGACGTCGGCGACAGAGGTCTCAGGAACCGTGATCAAAAAATTAGCATCGAGTCCGGCATGATGAGCATTACATCCAACGTGGACGTTGATGTGCTAGCTGAAGAGGTTGTTGAGAGCATCTGCGCCGGGTTCAGCTACCAACGGGTGTCTGTTGCCCAGCTGGCCAGCAACCGACCGGGCCAGCACGCGGATTCGAGTGCGATACGCAGGCTTGACAGCATGCAGGCGATGGAAGACATGGCTTCGGGAACAGACAGACTCGGCGACATGGAGCTCGTCCTAGGCGACGTGTCTGTGACGTTCGACGTCAGTCCTGCGGCATCATGGCGCTATCATACTCAGCCTGGCGCAATCCGGCGGATCATAATGAATCTGCTGGGCAACTCACTCAAGTACACCAGCAAGGGATTCGTCAATGTCTGCGTGACTCAGATAAAAAAGAAGGAGGATAGCCCCTCAGATACGGGCAAGATCCAGATCGACGTGGTTGATTCTGGGCGAGGCATCAGCGAGGACTACCTCCGAAATCATCTCTTCTCTCCTTTTGCGCAGGAAGATAGCCTGTCTGCTGGGACTGGCCTGGGCCTGAGCTTGGTTAACCGGATCGTCGCTAAGCTGCGTGGGTCCATCCAGGTTTGGAGCAAGGTTGGTCGCGGGACCAAAGTGACGGTGCAGCTCCCACTGCGGGCTGCTGTCCTGACATCGCCAGCAATCAGCCATACAGGCACCGTTGGTTTTGACGACTTCCAGGCATCAGTGAGCGAGCTCGGAGGTCTCCGGGTTAAGCTCCTCGGCTTTCCAGACGACTACGGAGTTCAATCGGTTGGCGACTTGTCGAGCCACACGCCAAGCGAGGGCAAGTTGGTGGCGAATATCTGCAGAGAGTGGCTCAAAATGCTCATCATTGGCCAATCTTCGGAGGAACAGCTCCTCCCCGACTTGGTCTTATCCAATGAACGACACCTGGATCGGCTCCTGTCTGAACGACGCCAAGGCGCGATATTTACACCCGTCGTGATAATATGTCGGAACGCTCTGATTGCGCGGCAGCTAGCAACGTCGCCGCGGTTCACTGGCAAGCGCGTTGTTTTCGAGTTCATCTCGCAGCCGTAAGTTTTCTATGCTCACATAACATTATGCCGAACTGACATTTCGTCCAGCATTGGCCCGAGAAAGCTTGCCAAGGTCTTGCTGCTGAGCTTCAGGCGGTGGACTCGAACACAGGCTGGTGCCATTCCGACGCCTACACAATTATCTCTGACGAATGGCAATCGGTCAGATTTGAATGATGATACACCTACTGGTCAGGGCATAGAAAGCAGTGCCAACGTAGGAAGCACGGAGGCTCTGCCGGAACTTCCCAGCGAGGACGAGTCGAAGCCCGACAAGCACGAAGGTAGCGACCAGGCAAAGGCATCGGGGCTCGGCAAGGACAGCCAACTAGAGGGATCCAAGGAAAGTCATGTGTCGGGTGCTGGCGAGGATATCGCGCTTCCAGATCGACCGAAGCGAGCACAAACACCTGCCTCGGACTCCAAAAGCGGCGAGCGATCAAGAAAAGACCGTAAAAGTCGGTTAAAGTTCCTGTTGGTGGACGACAATGCGCTCAATCTGAAGATACTGGCATCCTACATGAAGAAACTGGGGCACGAGTTTCAGAATGCCATGGATGGACAAGAAGCCCTGGATATATTCCGCAAGGCTGGTGGGGGGTTTCAATTCGTTCTCATGGACATCTCGATGCCTGTCATGGATGGATTCGAGGCAACGCGCCGTATCCGCGCTATCGAGGCGGAGCAGTGCCTAACGCGCTGCCACATCTTTGCGCTCACGAGCCTTGCGTCAGCGAGCGCGCAGCAAGAGGCGTTTGCCAGTGGGATCGACTTGTTTCTTACCAAACCTGTGCGGTTGAAAGAGCTTAGCAAGATCCTGGAGGCGAAGGGGGTCGCATAATTTCGTGAGCGAACCGTCCGGGTACGACGATGACATAATGAGGTAAGTGGTGAGGGGCAAAGGCATAGACGATGCGACGGGAATTGCGAATGTTTCGGACATGGTAAAATCGATACCCATTTTGTTGGACTGTGTAGTACAGCCGGCCAGAGTTATTAGACTTCTTTTGGGTGGGTCGGCGCATGGGTTTGACGGATGGTCCGTAAGCGTTACTATTTTGCTGTATCCAAAAATACATAGGAGCAGTGAAGCAAGGTGTATTCGTTGCCAGGTGTCTCGTAACTTTGTACAAAGGGAAAAGGGGACAGGCTGTTGGCTGCAATCTGTGAGTCTGCGCACATTCAGATATCGAGACCGAGGCCGGCGGCACGCACGCGTAGAGTCAGCTCTCTTCTTGTCTTGGAGGCCGGGAAGCCTCTTTCCCGGTTCCTCTGAGTCTCGTAATCGTGCATCTTTAACTGGATGTCATGGGGGTGAGAAACGGGCTGTGTATTCCTGTACCAGACCAGTCTATTCCTACCGGTAAGGCCGTGATGCTATTAATCTATCGAAACGAAACCTGGACCGTGTTGGCCTACAATACCCCGGAACACTCCCGAGCTTGATGACGATGTTATGAGCAAATAGACCCCTCCCTCCCTCCCATCCAATCCGGTTGTTTTCCAACGAGTCCACCGTCAAGCTCTAGCGATACAGCCCCAACCGAGCATTGGCGGCGCGACATCTGGCAACAGAATCTCGGCAGCAGCTGCCACTGATGCCGCGTAAACATGGGATTTGACTAAGAAGGGCGATGAAAGCAGAAAAGGCACGTCGGGTGAAGCGAAGCTTGGTCAAATACAATTCCGGAATCACTAGGGTAACGCGGGCGGGCGTGTGTTAGTCCAGTAGTCAGATGCGTTTACGCGGGTAGGGGGGTACAAAAGCTCACCAAGTCCGTGACCCGTAGCCACTTTGGCGGTGATGCGGTAGTTCAAACCCCCATGTCCCCATCGCGGGAAGCAGGCGAGAACCCCCTCGACCCCCCGACGAGACATCAGGACCACCAGTCAAAGACCTCGTCCCGCTCGCCCTTCTTGACCTTCTTGCGCAGGGTGGCGAGATTCTTGTTGATCATGCGGCGGGCGGCGGCCTCGGCCCTGGCGCGGCCGGGGGCGTCGGCGTCGTCGTCCCAGACGTACTGGTGGTCCCGGAACCAGGCGAGGTGGGGGCCGGGGCGGAGGCGGCCGGCCTTAGCGGCGGCGAAGCGGGCGCGGATGCGTTCGCCGACGCGCTTGAGGCCTCCTCCCCCTCCTCCTCCTCTTCCTTCTCCATCATCGCTGTTGCCGTCGCCGGCGAGCCACTTGTTAAGCTCGTTGGGGCGGACGCCGAGCTCGATCATGAGGGCGGCGTAGACCATGGAGAGGTGGGCGCGGTCGGGGCCGGAGAAGCAGCGGTCGAAGCCGAAGTCGGCGAGGACGCGAGGGTCGGTGGGGACCTCGTCGTTGCGGAGGGCGGCGGAGAGGGCGTGTGCGGCGGTGTGTCTGGCCGGGGTGGTTTTGGGGACCGTCTTCCTGGCCGTCTTGGTCTGGGGGACCGTCTTTCTGGCCGTCGTGGTCTGGGGGACCGTCTTTCTGGCCGTCGTGGTTTGGGGGACCGTCTTCCTGGCCGTCTTGGTCTGGGGGACCGTCTTTCTGGCCGTCGTGGCTTTGGGGACCGTCTTTCTGGCCGCCATGATTTCCGGCGGACGGTAGAGGATGATGGGAGTTGTGTATGCCTTTGCAAGTTATGACTGCAAGATGTGGTGTTGAAGTGTATGTATGTGTGTGTGTGTTTGCAAAAGGGAGGTTGGCAGTGCAAAAGTTTGGAGTGTGTTGATGGATGAGAGGAAGGAGAGGGAAAGAGGAAGCGATGTTTCTCGACTTCTCGAAAAAAGGAGATCCAGAGGAAGGAGGGTTTTGTTTTTTTCCCCTTCTGAAAACGTTCAGGTGCTGCCCGGTCCAAACAGACGGTATGGACAGGCGCGATGAGTTGACGTTTGCCTGTCCGTTGTCACGGGCTGAACTGCAGCTGAGGTGAGGCGGCACCTTTGTTTCCCGGCCGCACTCACTCATACGAGCGGGCTTGGAGTTATGAAGACTTGAGGAGGTTGCGCGGGATGTTATGGTATAGGGGCGTGGGAACTGGGAACGGGGGAGCATAAGTCCAGTCCTGTACGCGAGCATCCGCCTCTCCAGGTTTTTTCCTTTTCCTTTTTTCACGTTTTGAGTTCAGGGTGAACAGGTCTTTGGCGTATGGAAGCCCCGAGAAGGATCGCGACTATAACGCGTGTTTGTGTTCATTTGTTCATATTTGGGGTGAAGGGGGGGGGAGCGTCTGAAGGGAGTCTACTCTGGTTGCCTCCTCCTGGCTAACCTAACCTCTATCTACCAATTCGCTTTGAGCCAGGACCGAGCCGAATGGAGACTCTGCAAGTTGCTGCAGAAATCGTATCCACGTGAGAGGCGACTGATGGTGTGATATGGAAGCGAGCTGTTCTTTTCCCGGCTTGGGAGAAACGGCACAGTATTTAGGAGCGTGTTTTTCAGAGGGAGACTGCGGATTTTCTTCCGCGGTCTTACCGGAAGTGAAAGGAGGCCTGGGAAGGCGAGGGTATGATGGATAATACGGCTTGAACAAGCCTAAACAAATGATGTTTGCAGCTTTTCAGAAACTTCTTGTTAGGCAGCATAATCTATAGGTAGATATTCCACCAAGGACTAGAAATCAAACAAGACTCAGGTGGACGGCAAGACTAGGTGGACGGCACATACAACAGCCCCGGGGTTCTTTCTTCAGAACAAAAAAGAACCCTCGTCTCGCGAGTCTACGGATAACCCAAGACAAGGAAAAGCCGGCGAGAGAGAGAGAGAGACGTCCGCGGTCCACGCTAGGAATGCAGGTAGGTCTCCCCGTTCTTCCACCGGCGCGCCATCTCGACGAGCCACAGCTCCCACTCGGCCTCGCTCTGGAACCCGGTGGTCATGCCGCCCTCTGTGGCGTCGATGGCCAGCTCGATGTCCTCCTTGCGCATGCCCTTCCACTCGGCCGGCCACTTCTTCCGGTTCTCGAGCGCCTCGAAGCGGAAGACGGGCGTGTCGTGGCCGAAGCGGTCGCAGCGGAAGACAGATTGCCCGTGCTCAGCGAACCAGGCCCGGCGCGCCTCAGGGACGCGCGAGGGCTCGGCCTCGAGGGCCTGCTGGATGCCGGCGTGCAGCTTGAGGTTCGTCAGCCACAGGTGGACCTTGCGGTAGTGGACGCCGAGGTCGAAGACGAGCGTGTTGTAGACACCGAGGAGGGCGAGGCGGTCGGCGTCGGAAGCGAGGCGGGTGAAGTACCACGTCTTGAGGGTGTCGAGGTCGCTCGGCAGCCGGGTCGTGTCCTGCATGAGGGCGAGGAACTCGGGGTGGGCCAGGACGGCCGAGTGGTAGTCCATTTTGTCCGCTGTTTTCTCCTTCTTTTTTCCTTTCCGAAACAACTTTAGCTGTTGTTGCAATTTGCCGGTGATCTAATAGTGGATGAGATGATGAGGTTAGATTTGGCCCGAGGGAAACTAGGCGCTATTTATCCAAGATCTATTTACTCCTTACGGTTGAAAAAATATGGAAAGGCTCGCCAGCTTCCACGGATAGCGGCAAGCCAAGAGAGTCGGCGCGAAGCATGGAAAGAATGTATCAAGTTATTGATTCAATATTGTTTGTTCGAGTCCATTCGACCATTAAGCACTTGTGGTTTTTCAATCAAGGGTGAGCTGTGGTCCTTGTCGGGTCTTTGTCGCCATCTACAACCACCATGAGCTGAAAAGAGAGGAGAAACTGCAGGGGGTTGGCAGCCCGAGTCGTACGGCTTTAGCTTGGGCAGGTTACCCCTTTACGAAGCAATTGTGCCTTTTGGAAGTATCCAAAGGAGGGAGAGAGAGAGAGAGAGAGCCTCAAAGACGACTTCTTTCATCCTTTGTGCTGGCGGGGACGAATGCGCGATACCTCGTTGGCTATTCCAGTCGCCCTTGTCCAGTTATCTAATGGCAACCTCATATAGAGAGCGGCCGGATTTGGGATGTCAATGTAGATGCGTACCGAGTTGGATATATGCGGTTCCAGTATCGTGGCCCAGTCGCGTGGTGTGTCGACAAGCGGGAAGGAAGAAAAGATATGCGCGATCCCTGGATACTAGCAATATCCCTTACCTTTGAGATCCTGCGTATCTTTGTTGTCAGAGTCCGGTTCGGTTGTCATAAACGTACAATACTAGTACGAGCCAGGAAATCGTGCTGCGTTAGAATCTCGTTCCCGATGTCTCTGTTGATGTGAGTACCAATGCCATGATTTGGGTCTCGCAGATATTACTGGCCCTATTGAGCCGCTATCCTATGTGCCGGCAAATATCCATTCAGCCTTTTTCCTTAGTTCCCTTTTGCTAGGTCATTTTCTTCCGCCACACTCTTGCCAGTATATCCTTCCAGTTGTCGGGGATCCAATCCCAAAGGCCAGCGAGGCATCGCCCTGCCAAAATCCTTTGGACGATTCGTGATATAGGTAGCACCAAAACTGGAGCTACGGTTGGCTCATTACTGTTGTGTCCACGCGAACTAGGAAGCTGGAATCGCAACAAGCTGTAGCTTTTGATAGAGCAGGTGCTGCGACAGCAGGAGCCATCACTCACTTGATTCAAGAAGCTTCTGCCTCTTTGCTGGAAAATTTTGGTAAGCTTGGATGACGTTCTTTGCGTGTTGCTGATTCAAGAATTAAGCTTACCTAGATGAGGACTTGCGCAGCGGACTTGGACCGATTCCTGCGGCCTTCTTCTTCTGGAACTCGGTGTGTCGACCATGTGCCCCGGGCACCTTGTTGGTGTCGTCAAGCGCATTTCTGTTCCGCTTTCTGCTATACTTGGAAGTCTTATTGGGTCGAGGAGATGAAGCCCCGTTCACGGCACCGCCAGGAATGTCTTCCTGCATCACTGCTTCCTTGTCCGGTAGACGCAAAGGCTCACCCTTGAGCTTGAGGTCGTAGGCCTGGCCCGCCCTAGCCCAAGCGTCGCCGTTCCCGAGACCCCAGACATAGGGGTGGTCGACGGCGAACTGGTACTCGCCCGGCGCGGCGTCCTTCTGTTGCTCCAGTCGCGCAAGGACCTTCTGTCCCAGCCTCTTCCTGCCCTTGGACGCCCACTTGCGAAGTCTCGCGGACGGCACGTCGAGCGCTCTGTATACGCGGAGCAGCTTGTGTTCGTCGTGCGGCAAGAAGCTGAGGAGCCGGTCGAAGCAGAAGTCGGACCTGGTCTGCAGGTCGGTGGGCGGCTTTCCACGAGAGATGGCCGTGGAGAGGACGTTGATGGTGGGGACTCCGTAGGCGGACCGACCTGGGGTGGACTGATCTTTTGGGGGCTGCGTGTCGGGTTTGGCGATGGCTTTGCCCTTGGATCGAAGAGATGGACCGGCTGGCTGGGACATGATGCTTAACTGGGAGATCTTTGTAGCAGAAAGGGATGTCAGAGATGGATCGTCCAGCGTGTCAACGTTGTGATAAGAGTGACTTGCCTTGCACATTTGCCAATATTTGAGGACGAAGGTGGAAATCTCGATGCTACGAGCTTGTTGCCGTAGTAAACCGATCAAATCTTGACCTTTTTTTCTCTCTAACCTAGTTGATTAAGTAAGGCCTAGCCTGGCCTGCCCATAAAGAAGGGAAAGAGCCATCGCGAAACTCGAGAGACGGGTAGGCATGAGCGAGGCAAGTGCGCTCTCGAGCAGGCGGTCTCGCGGTCGCGCCTGCCTCGAAGGAATCGGCTTCCACGAGGCAGGGCAGGAGCAAGTGTATCAGTGCAAAGTGGATCATCATGAGGCCGATGCATATGAAGAAGGCGAGATGACATTCGGCAAACGGGCAGGGTCCAGATGACGACGCCACGGTTCAAGTTGGATTGTAACTTGGTGGTTCTGCGGCTTGACGTGTCGGAGCCTAGCGGAATATGTCTTTGCAGAACCCGGCCGAGTCGTTGAACCGAAGCGAGAATGAAAGCGATGGACAGACAGATGGATAGACTGCCCCCTCTCGCACATGGGAATCAGGCTCACCAACAATCGCCACCCCGATCTCCCCGGTGATTGGTTGAGCAAGGATGATGAGGAGTTCCGGCAGAGTCTTCAACTACTGGGTTCGATTGGACGTTGCGGGTGAATCAAGCGAGACTCCCTCAGGTCGGCACCAGTAAGAGTCCGGAGACCCTCACACCCAAAGCTGGCTTTCCCTAGGTAGATGCCCATCCCTTCCGCATTACGAAGGACTTGCGGTGCAAGACACTACACAGTTACATACTATATATATGCGTGTGTAAGTGTACAGTACTAGGTAGAAAGTCTGGCCACAGCAATAAGGATCACCAAACAAAAGCTACAGCAGATGGTTGAGAGACAGGGCCTTTCGTGGTGCACCATGAAGTGACCTCGAGCCACTCACGGGTTCCCCTCTTCGACTCTTGGTTGGGTTTATCCTTATTGCTATAGCCAGACTTTTCACCTAGTGACTATACTTATGTGTTTGCGTATGTGTATGTACGATGGTATCCGGTCGAAGTAAAAGCTCCCTGTCAGGTAACTGATACGCACCCCCCTACTACAAAACTTCTCTGTTGGTGAATATTCCCCTCTTATAATGATGTCAGCTATGGGGGGTAACATGGCTGGGAGCTTTTAGTTACCCCTACCACCCTGTACAACCCTGAGATTTACTTTTCGGTTGGTGCGCCGAGTCTGCGTCAATGCGCGCAACACTGACGTTCATTCAATGTCAGTTTAACGTCTTGTCAACTGTTGAGGGGTACAAACAAGGCGTCCGGCACGCCAACGGCCAATGAAATCAAGAGCACAGAACCGAGTCCCGGCTTGATTGGGCAAGAAAGCGGTCAATCACAACATCAGTCGAAAGTCTACTGCTGACTCTGCTGACTGATATTCATACCTCAGGTAGGCAGATACAGGTACCTAGGTAGTTAACCACCTGACCTGTAGGTAGGCATGCACGGCAGGCACCTACCTAGTTTGTCTAGCACGCAGGTACGTACCGTACAATGGAATGCAGGGTCTTATGCAACTTCTCCTCTTTATTGCATTGAAAATCCCTTTAAAAAGCCCGATGCCCCATCACCCCCGGTGTCCGATCCCGAACAGAATCCTCGATCTCTACACCACATTCCCCAAGTACTGATCGTCCCCTCTTCCATCGCCGCCCCACTTTACTTGGCTACCTAGTAACTGCAGTGTACGGATAGCTTATTCCTCTTTTCATCGGAATCCCCTCCGTCTCCGTTTCTCGGCCGAGTCACACCATTCCCATGACTTGCTCCGAAACACAAACCGTCGTCCGAACCACGTCCGACCTGACTATCCCTATTCGGCCGCCCAGTAACATGGTCCCCATTGGACCGTGTCTGTCGAGCGGTGAGGAAAGTCCTCCGCGACGTCTGGTGCCCCTTTCCCTGAACCAACTGAAAGCCGGCGAGATCATTCAACGAGTAAGTTTTCTGCATTCCCTCGTGGCAGCCGTACTAGGCGATCCCTCCAAATAGAGTGCTTACGCCTTGTCTTTTCCCCAGGTGCACGGCGATGCCAAGAACCTCGTCTGTAGCATCGAGGGCCTGCTCCAGTGCCGCGCCCTTCCCGCCACCGGCGCCGGCCACGTCGTTCCCAAGACCATCCTCGGGAACCCCGCCCTGCTCGCCGTCCAGCGCCAGTCGCGGGACATTACCGGCGATATGCGCGAGCTGATCTCCCTCTCCCGCCGCGAGACCACGCTCATCACGCGCAATTTTGACCACGCCCGCAGGATGCGGCACCACCGCCGCGTCATCGAGGAGCGCCACCGCGCCGCCCGCGCCCATCACCAGCGCCCCGAGACTGATGACGTCTCCCAGCTCGTATGCCACGCCTGCAACACCCGCCGCACGCCGCAGTGGCGCAGCGGCCCGGCCGGTCCCTGCACCCTGTGCAACGTCTGCGGGCTGGTCCACGCCATGAGGATGCGGAAGCTGGGACGCACCAGGAGCAAGAAGGCTTCGGCGTCGTCCTACACTTCGTGAGGCCATGAACATGTTGTCTGTGCTTGACGAGAGAGATGGTTATTTTCTCTCATTTCTTGCTCTTTTTTCCTTTTTTCCCCCCTCTCGTCATCTGATTCCCTTCTTTTACCCCCCCTCCCCTCTCGGTCTGTTTCCTCGGACCACGGGTATCATTCTGGGTCTGACTTCTCCGACCATTTTGGGTTGGCTTCTTTTGGGATTTTTTTTCTGGGATAAACACGATACCACATGATACCAATACTTGTGTGCAGGTTAGCATCGGCGTCCAAGGAGTTGAGGGAAGAAAAAACACAGCAGGCGAGACTCCGATACCACAATGTATAAAGGACAACCGAAGGATGGTCTGGTCCGGCGATGTAGACTGTATAGTAAGGTAATTACTATATCAACTCGGCAGAGTTGCATTCATAACTGCAATGATGGGCTTTGCAATGGACAATGATGGCTGTGACTATCGAACCATGCACATGACATCATCCCCCTCCGTAGTTATACGATGTATGAGACTCACTGCCCTTGACACGTCTCGTGATTGGTCAAAATGAATTTCGGTAGGCCCTCCGAGGTGGTCGTTCGTCCCTGCCAATCGGAGCCCTTTTTTCTGCGGTAGCGATGAGGCATACCGTCCAACCTAAACATTGGAGTGATAAGGGTTGGTTGGGGCCTAATCAGACGAATGCTGGTTTGGGTTTGGGCGTTTTGCAGACTGCCCGGTAGCAAAGCAACATCTTGTAACAAAAGTCCCTGCAGTTACATAGTATACGCGTAACAACAATACGCGTAGCGTACGAATGACGCTGAACGGCATCTAGGCGCGTCTCCGTGACGTTTGAGCGTCCGAATCAATTCCTCGCACAAGATGCGGGGGCAAAAGTGTGCTCAAAAGACATTCAGAAATTGCCTACCTGGGACTACACACGCGAGAACATGGCTGGTCGTGGAGGAGTCCTAACGGCGTAATTTTTGCCACCCTTGCGGCAGCCCTACAGTGGGAACTTGTTTTTTCCGCATGGGTCCCGAAACCAATATGCACTGGGTTGCGACCCCCGTTTGGGCGGGGGAGGGGGATTTTGATAACACGATCGATCCACCAGCGCCACACCTCGACGCTTGCCACCATTCGCAGCAAGCATCCATCCATCTCCCCATCTCTTGATACACTTGCCGCATTCTCCCAGTCATAGCGAACCCGATGCCATACCGACCTGCTGCTGTCGTGAGCTGGATTCCGTTCATCTCTCCGACCGAATCTAAAAGTTCGACTGTCACTCTATCGTCCTCTTTTTCCAACGGTTCTGTCCCCACGGAAAAAGTCAGGCCTTCATGGAAACCTCCGACTCTGAAGCCGACAAGAGAACTCCCAGAGGTGCCGACGCCGTCTTGGCCGGGTCATCGGACGACGGCTCGGCGACACCGACCGGCGACTGCGGTGCGGACGCCCCGACCCAGCTGTCCTTGAACCAGCTCAAGGCGGGAGAGCTCATGCAAAGGGTACTGCTGCCCATTCCATCACGGCCGACCCTGCTTTCTCTCCCACTTCCCCTTTTTGTTACTGAACAGACTGACGGGGGCCGATGACAGATCCACGCTGATACGAGAGACCTACTTGACCACATTCAAAGCCTGCTCCAGTCCAACTTCTTGCTGGGCGGTTGTAGACGCAGCAGGATACCCGGCGTGATTGCCAGCCACCCGGGCCTGATCGCCGCGCACACGCTGTCCCAACTCGTCGCCGTCAACGTGGACGAGCTCGTGACGCTGTGCCACGACAGCGCCACGGACGCCGAGCATATGCTCCAAGGCGTCGCCCCCTTCCGGGAACGGGAGCGGCGAAAGAGGCGCCGGAGGCACAGGAAGGACTCTGCGGCGTCTTACTGCTATCCGCAAAAGGTATTTGCCCGGTCCCTCCCTGATCCCCCTCCCCAACCCCCCTTATCAATACAAAAACAAGCCGGTTACTCCCCACCCAAAACAATCCCCGATTTGGTTGCGACTGGGGGGGGAGCGTTCGACATGCTATGCAAGCGTGTGGGAATCTCTTTTTCGGCTGGCCGACTGAGGAAAAAACCCGACTTAGGCCCTGAAACGTAGCCGCGCATCCCGGCGCGTGTGCCAGTCTTGCCAGACGACGAGCACCCCGCAGTGGCGGAACGGACCCGCCGGCCTCTGGACTCTCTGCAACGTCTGCGGGTTGATATACGCCAGACAGATGCGCAGGAACGGCCTTGTCAAGCGGCTGACCAGTTCCCCCGAGGGCTCACGAGACAGTGAGTGCAAAGCAGAGGCGAGCGCGAGCGGAGGCACTTCCTGAAGGGAACGTGATGACGGTGGCTGGACTCCTCAGATAAGATGGAGGCCAAATCTTTTTCTTTCTTTTTCCTTTCCCCCCCCTCTTTTTCCTTTCTTTTTCTGTTACGAACTTGGTTGTAGGCACGGAGGCAAAGGCAGCGTTCCGGTAAAGGCGGCTTAGCATGAATGTACTAGGGTGAAATTGGCAGAATAGTAATCAGCACATGGCTATTGGGGGAGATGTCCATGTTTGGTGTGACAGCATTTGCCATGGCATTTGTGACGGGTCAGCGCTAGTGTTTGCTCTTGGCATTACGTACCCTAGCATGGCTCCGATAAGATAAGACACATACTTGCTTAGATAAGCACTCTGCTGGTAGGTACCTACCTAGCTGCCTAGATACCTAGGTACCTACAGGCTACAGCGTAGGACGTACCTGATGATAGTGTAGTACGGATAGGGGGTTTCAGGACTCTCGGCGCTTGGACACTCACCCGTGGACTCACTCCATCCCTGCACAACACAACGACTCACACTCGGTCCAAACATCTCGTTTCCTTCCGGACCTCAACCCCATTCGATCGACAGACACCCCAAACACCAAAGGGAAGAAAGATGGCGTCCAACACCGAATCCGAAGACGTCGCCCAACAGCGGCCCCTCTTGGCCGACACCCATGAGGAGTACGGTGGGACCGACGGACCCTCGCCTCCCGTGCTCATCCCCGAGGAGCGCGGGGCCGGCACCTTCACGCGCAACCTCGGCGCACTCGAGGCCTTCGCCATCGTCATCAGCATCGTCATCGGCAGCGGCGTCTTCACGTCGCCCGGCTCCATCGACACCAATGTACCGTCTCCCGGCACCGCATTGGTCGTATGGCTCGTCGGCGGCGTCCTGGCCTGGACTGGCGCGAGCACCATGGCCGAGTTGGGGACCGCCATCCCGGGTGAGGGTGAGTCCACACACACACACACACACACACACCCTTGGTCCTTTTGACCCGATTCCGATAAACATGTCCTCCCGTGTTCTTGCAGCTAGCTGACCACCTTTCACAGGCGGCATCCAGCCCTTCCTGATGCACATCTACGGCGACGTCTTTGGCTTCCTCGCCGCCTGGACCTGGATCGTGGCCGTCATGCCCGCCACCCTGGCCATCCTCAGCATCGTCTTCGTCGAGAGCATCTACTCGGCCGGCGGCATCACCGACCAGGCCGGCGCTGCATCTCACAAGGCGCTCTCCGTCCTCGTCCTCATCGTCATGAACGGCGCCAACGGCATCAGCACCAAGGCCAGCACGCGCCTCAACAACCTGTTCGTCGTGACAAAGTTCACCGCCATCTTGGCCGTCGTCGTGGCCGGCGTCGTCGTCGTCGTCCTGCAGGCATCGGACCGCGACCGCGACGTCGGCGGCCGCGACTGGTTCAACAAGCCGTGGTTCGGAAACCGCAAGACGGAGCTGCCCGGCGGCGGCGAGGTCGACTGGGACAAGGTCGGCTCCTGGGACATGCTCGGGCACTACTCGGCCGCGCTGTACGGCGCGCTGTGGGCGTACTCCGGATGGGACAAGGCGCGCTCAACCCCGACCCCTTATCGCGACGTCTTTTTTCTTCTTCTTTTTCTTTCTCTGTTTTGGCTAACACATGACAGGCCGTCTACGTCACGGCCGAGCTCCAGCACCCCGCCCGTCAGCTTCCTCTGGCCATCAACACGGCCGTCCCGACCATCATCCTGTGTTTCATTGCCGCCAACGCGGCCTACTACATCCTCCTCCCCTGGGACGTCGTGTCCAAGACCGACAGCGTGGCAGTGGTGAGTGTGGTGGCCACGCCCGGCTGAACCTTTTCCCGCTTCTGCCGGCGTTCTTCCTGGCCTGCCTGTCGACCGCGGCGGCACTGGCTTGTTTTTGATCCCGACCCTTTATGCTGACCTGCTTTCCCACACAGACTGCCATCAACCGCCTCCTCGGCTCCGGCTTCGGCATCGCCGCCGCCGTCCTCATCTGTCTCGTCGTCGCCGGCTCCTTGCTTGGCAACTCGTTCGTCGCGGGTCGCATGACGGTGGCCGCGGCCAACTTCAACTGGCTCCCCGATTTCCTCGGCTTCGTCGGCCGCGTCGGCTTCAAGTCCGAGGACAACAGCCCCGTCGGCGACTCGACCGACGAGCCGTCTTCGTCTCCCCCCCGCAAGGGCAGGTCGGACGCCCCGCTCAACGCCCTCCTGATGTCGACGGTGCTCTCGGCGCTGTACATCCTGTTTGGCAACTTCCGCGCGCTCCTGACGTTCAACGGGCTGGGCGAGTACACCTTCTTCTTCCTGACGGTGCTCGGCGCCGTCGTCCTCCGCGTGCGCGAGCCGAAGCTGCGCCGGCCGTACAAGCCGTCGGTGCTGATCCCCGTCGTGTTCGCGCTGGTGAGCGGCTTCGTCGTGGTCCGGGGCGCCATCTTCGCGCCCGTGCAGGCGCTCATCCTGATTATCCTCTGGCTCGTCGGCCTCGGCTTCTACTGGGCCAGGAGGAAGTACTACGCGCGCCGCACCCAAGTCGAGTGAAGGCGCAGCTTGCTTGCCCCGAAAGTCTGACGCCCGATTTATGAAGAATTGTATAAGAGACCTTCAAAAAGTACAAGACTGGCTTAGCCATGTTTTAACGGTGCATGTTCAAGATGCAGTCAAAAATCAAGAAGTGGTGAAAAATGAGACACGTGTGTGATGATCGTGTCAGAATTAGACTAGGCAGAAGGCCCTATAGAGTTCGTGCAAACAGCCGGCCCCATATGAATGACTCCATCATGACCCCCCTCCCCCCCACGCATGAGTCGTGATCCGTGATGCGCTCAAAGCTCCTCGCTCACGTCCCCGAGCTTGGTGGGATCGTCCAGGTCGGCAAACAGGTCGACGCCCCACTTCTTGCCCGGGTTGCTCAGCCTGTGCTTCTTGTCCTGCTTGGCGATCTCGCGGAGCTCGTCGTCGTCGAAGGTGACGTCGAGGGCGGCGCGGTTCGCGACGATGTGCGACTCCTTTGTGCTCTTGGGGATGACGACGGTGCCGCGCTGGACGCCCCAGGCGAGGACGGCCTGGAAGACGGAGACGTTCTTGCGGTCGGCGAGGGCGATCCAGAAGGGGTCCTCGTGGATGGCGGGCAGGCCGTCGCCGTAGGTGGGGTTCGTGTTGGCGAGGGGCGAGTAGGCGACGACGCGGATGCCGCGCTCGCGGTGCCAGTCGACGAAGGCCTGCTGCTGCAGGTAGGGGTGGGCCTCGAGCTCGTGGGCGAAGGGGGGGATCTCGGCGGCGGCGAGGACGGCCTCGACGTCGGCACGGGCGAAGTTGGAGACGCCGATGTGGCGGGTGAGGTTGGCGCGGACGAAGCCCTCGAGGACGCGCCAGGTGTCGACGAGCGAGGTCTCGCGGTCGAGGGCGTTGCCCGGGTCGCCGGGCACGAAGGCGACGGGCCAGTGGATGAGGTAGAGGTCGAGGTAGTCGACGCCGAGGTCGGCGATGGACTTGCGGATGGCGGCCTCGGCGCGGTCGGCGCGGTGGTCCGTGTTCCAGAGCTTGCTGGTGACCCAGAGCTTCTCGCGCGCGACGCCCGAGTCGGCGATGCCCTTGCCGGTCTGGTCCTCGTTTCCTGGGCGCGTCGGTGAGTGTTGGAACAGCGAGATGAGGGTTGTGTGTGTGTGTGTGTGTGTGTATGTGTGTGAGGTATATTAGGAGATGAGCCGTGACGATTGGAACTTACTGTAGATGAGGGCGGCGTCGATGTGGTCGTAGCCGGCCTCGCCGACGGCAAAGGACACGGCGTGGGCTACCTTGCTCTTGTCAGAGAGCCATGTTCCCAGGCCAAGAGGCGGGATCTCGTCCAGGCCGGGAAGGGAAGCTTGAGCCAGGCCCGCAACGGAGACGGCGGCGGCGGAGAGTAGAGCGATGAGGTGCCCCATTGTCTTTTTCTTCTTCTTGTTTCTTTGAAGCTATTCAGGGACACCCTCTTGATGACAATGTCGGAACGGACCACGGCGATTGGGGTTGGAGCAGGCAGAGACAGTCCAACAACAACAATATCGACAACTGACGGGGGGGGTTGTTGCTTTTCTGATAAGGGTTTCCCCCTCTTCTCTCTCTCTCGGTCTGAAATCGGACCATGACCAATCCTCCCCGCAGTCTCTGCTTAAATAATGGAGGTTGGTTGGCCAGGGACATGACATCATCCAATCCCTCACTTACACCACACGGCATCCGATGGCTTTTGACACGCCCAACGTCTCAAACCCGAGGCACAAGCTGTTTGATTAGAAATCTCTTTTTGTTTTCCCTTTTACACAATCTACAGAGTTATTTGTACAAATTAAGTGTTTTTTTTTGTTCCCCCTTAGAGACACACAGACGTTTACAACACCTGCCAGCACGCCGCGAGCGCCCAGCTGGCCAATAATGCCGCCGCGATGCCGCCGCTGCTTGACAGGGGGCCGATCCGCACTGCTCCCGAAGCGGAAGGTGGCTGAGAGACGGCCGCTGCCGACACTCCGTTATCGGCACCGGTCCCGGCCTCGGCACCGACCGGAGGCGGCGGCGGCGGCGGCGACGCAGCCTTTGAGGTTCCATTGCCGCTCCCACCCGCCGCCGCCGCCTTGGCCACAGCCTTCTGCAACACCTTGGACACGGCCGCGTACGCCGGCTTGGGCTGCATCGCGTTGTCCCACAGGCACGCGTCCCCCGTGCCCGGGAACGTGTCGGGGATCCAGCTGTACTTGTCCGTGAACTGCCACACGACGACGCCGACGCACTTGTCGTGGTCGACGCACGTCTGCACGACGCCCGCGTAGTCCTTGGCCTGCTGCTGCAGCGCCTCCTCGCTCGCGGGCACCTCGGCGCACCGGATGTCCAGCTCCGTCAGCGCCACCTCGAGCCCGAGGTCGGTGAAGCGGCCGAGCACGGTCGACAGCAGCTTCTGCGACGGCGTCTTGCCGACCTCGAGATGCCCCTGGAACCCGAGCCCGTCGATGCGCACGCCCTCGGCCTGCAGGTCGCGCACGATGCCCACGGCGCCGTCCGTCTTGGCCGAGTTGAACTCGAGGCTGAAGTCGTTGTAGTACAGCTTGGCCCCCGGGTCCGCCGCCGCCGCCGCCCGGAACGAGATCGGGATGAAGTCCCGCCCGAGCGTGCGCGAGAAGACGCTGTCGCGGAGCGTGCCGTTGTCCGCGAGCGCCTCGTTGACCACGTCCCACGAGTAGCAGTCGCCCTTGAAGTGGCCCACCACGTGCGAAATGTGCGTCTCGATGACCGCCGTGAGCGTCTCCCGCGTCCACTTGCCGGCCGACACTGCAAAAAACGTCAGCTTCTTTTTCTCTCATGTCTTTTTCTCACATGACTTTGATGCACAAGGTCCGCCGGGATCGGGCTAAAAAAAAAAAAAGAAAAGGCTCACCAAACTCGGGCAGCTGAGAGTGCCATGTGAGCGTGTGGCACCGCAGCTTCTGGCCGTTGCCCTTCGCCCTGGCCATCACCGCGTCCGCGTTCTCCAACGTGAACTGGTTCTGCTTGGGCTCCGTCGCCTGCCACTTCATGCTGTTCTCGGGCACCACGATGCCGAACTCGCCCGTCGCGTTGAGGATCGCCGTGTATTCGAGATCGTTGAACTGGCCCACGTCCGTCGCCGTGCCGAAGAACAGCATCCGCCCGCTCTGAACCGCCAGGTCGTGGAGGCCCTCCCCCGAGACGACGCCGGCGCCCCATGCCGCCAGGGCGATCCAGCTGGCCAACTTGCCCATGTTATTAGGGGGTGTGTGACTGTGTGTGTGTGTGTGTGTGTGTGTGTGTGACTACGTGTGAATGTGTGCGGATGTGTGCGTGTCCGCGAGTAAAGTTGTTATGTGAGAATACACCCGAGACTCATAAGGTTAGAGATGGCGCTGAGATGCGATGGAATAGACAATAGGGTACAGAGTCTCATTCGTCTCAAGGAACGGAGGGAAACAGTTCGGACACAGCTGCCCATTTATTCAGCACCGCATGGCTTTCCCGAGCCCCGCGCTATTGTACGAGGAGAACAGACGAAGGCATTGATCAGACGTTTCAATGTGGCACGCCTGGATGGGGAGCCCAACGAGATGGGTCAGGTGCCGACGATGTTTCCTTTTTCTTTTCTTTTTTCTTCCTCTCTCTCTTCTTTTTCTGCTTCACTTGGGGTTTCAAGTCCGACTGAACCGTACCTTTTGGAAATTGGGTATAACCGGACGAAGCTTGTCGGGTGAAACGAACCCCTCTGGTCCAAGTGGCCCTCCCAAATTGCATGACACGGATCTGAGTGACTAAACCGCCGGGAAATCAAACATGTTTACAGGTTTCAACGGCGCGGCACCAACACCCTGACTGGGTTTTCCCCCGACGCCAAGCGTGGGTGCGTGAATAAGGCTTACTCACATATGTGATCCCATCCGAGTGACGGGCCGGAGCACCCCCCCCCCTCCCCTTCGGAAAGGGGGGGTTCGGGATGAAAGGGCGGTGGAAGATGAAAAGAGTCTATTCTACGACCGACTCGTACAACTTACCTAAGTCTTAGTCAAAAGGGGCACCGGCCCGTCACTATTCAACATCTCGAGCACTGACTTGACACCTCCTCTCTCTCTCTCTTGCCCCGCGCGTGGCGACCATGTCATGTCCTTCTCACCCGACTCGTGGCCGAGAAACGAAACATGTTGGCGGCCAGTCAGTCAGCCAGCCAGCCAGCCAGCGTCTAAACAAAAAGCTCCAAGATGATCCATCCCATCCATGATCGCCCCCCCCCTCCCCCCCCCCCCCCTCCCCAGCCCAGCTAGACGACCTCAAACGTCTCTGCATCCCACCCAAAATGCTCTCTGAATCGCGAGGCTGCCGTCAACAGACGATACCCTTCGAGCTTGTTCGCGTTCCCGTGAGGGCGGTGGAGCGTGACAGGCCGCCAGCCCGACCCCTTCGGGGGCACGAACTTGGTCGACGAGCCGACGCCGCCGTGCGAGTCGACCGTGAAGCCCAGCTCGGCCATCGCCGACTCGAGCGCCGTGAAAGCGATCGGCCGCCGGTTCAGCGTCCGGTCGAACAGCGCCTCAAACACGTCCGCCGTGGCCGCCGTGACTTTGATCTTCTCCGGCTCGGGGGCCTGCGCCGGTGGTGGCGGGGTGGGCGGAGCCGGCGGAACTAGCTCCGCCTCCGCCCCCTCCGCAGGCCGGGTCTTGACCTTTTCTTTCCGCTCCTGCTGCTGCTCATCCTCGTCACGTTTTCCCTGCGCCTTGTCGATGAACAGACTTGGGCCGGCTGGGGCCGCGGCCGCGGCCTTTCCCTTCTGCTGCTTAGCCTGCGCCTGCGCGCACCGTCTCCTCAGCTCCGAAACGCTCTCCCTGACGGCCTTGTCGTAGTTTCCCTCGAGGCTGGACCCCGTCTTCTGCCTGCAGACATTGCTGATGGTGTCCAGAGCGCCGGCCGCGACCTCGGGCTTCCCCAACCTGGCCGGCGGCACGGCGAACAGGGTGAGGTCGACCTTGTCCCTCAGGGCCCAGAGGTCTTTGTCTATCTGCTGGCACTTGGAGACGAAGAGACCCTTCACCCGCTTCTTCCCGTTCACGGGCGGGAGGGCCGCCTCGTCCGTCAGCTTCTCGATGAACGTGAGCATCGTGGCCAGGTCCGCGAGCGCGTCCGCCTCCCAAGCTTTCAGTTGCCCCAATCCCTCCGTGTCAATCTCGCATTCGTCTTTCAGCTTCTGGAGCCACTCGAAAGCTGCTTCGGCCGTGGTCTCGGGCTGGCAGAGCCGTACGATGTGCCGTATCGAAGGATCGATGCGCGGCTTGACTTTGTCCAGCTTGTCCATGCTGACGGCCAGCGTCACCAGGGTGTTGCCGTCGACGTCGTATTCGCCGCACCGCTTCACGAACAGGGCTTTTTCGCCCTCTTTAATCTCCAACCTCTTCTGCAGGAATCTCTTGAGGAGGCTCTGGGCGCGCTGGAAGCCCATGTGGCACACATGCGCCATCTCCTGGAGGATGACGGCGCGGCCCGGGCCGCCCTCCTCCTCCTCCGCCGCCTCCGGCATGACGGCGACGAGGTACGTCCACAACGCGTGGTGTCTGGCCACATCGTTCACGACGTCGTAGACGCAGGTGATAAGGTCTTTGTCCACGACTGTGTTGTTCGTCACGCGGTCTTCGTTGAGGACCTGATCGGGCAGGCTGCTGAAATAGTGGATGACCCTCTCCTTCAGCACCCTGGTTGCCACGCCGAGGGAACCCCACTGGGCGCCCACGATCCCCTTGTTCCTGCGTGCCATGTTAAGAGCGGAGTCGTCAACTGCGTCGCCCGCCGGCTCTTGCAGCTGCAGGGCCTCCCTCAAGCGCGCAGCGCTTTCTTCCGGGTTGGCAGGTATCCAAGGGCCCGGTTGCTCCTCCGGGTCGCAGTCCCAGACGAGCATGAAAGCGGTGCCGATTCTCCCAATGATGAATGCCTGCCTCAGGAGGACCAGATCCCCGTAGATCACGGGGACGCACAGGTGTTCCTTGCCGGGCGGCAGCAGGGCGGCTGCCACCGTCTTCTGGTCCGCCGCCTTGTGCGGGACGCCGTACTTCTCCCCTTCGCAGAAGGCAACATACGCATTCCCGCGTGGGAGCCCCCAGTCGATGTATTGTTGGGACTCCTTGATGACTTCGAGGTCGCTCGGGCCGTTGACGGAGCTCTCGAAGGCCTGTTCGGGGAGCGTCGCGGTCGCTCTATGCCTGAGTATATTGACGAGGACGCTGGGGTCCTCGGCCATGTTCTCGTTGTCCCAGTGCGGGGCGAAATCTAGTTCTTGTCCTACCAGTGTTGGATTGGCAACGTTTAGTATCTCGGTGCGATCTTCCGGGCTGAACGAGCGCCACATGTACTCAAACCTTGTGCCGTACCTTTGCCATCTCGAGGTCAGGTCCCGTGAAACCTGTCTCACATCAAGGGAGATGTCGATCATTACAAGCAAATGCTTCACGGGTTCAGGCCGGGCCTTCTTCTGCTGCTGCTTGTTTTTGCCCATCCTGCGAGTCAGACTGGGAGCGCTACGGTCTACGTTGACGCACGAGATGAACTCTTGGGAGATACCGAGCGAAAGTCGTTGTCAGTGACGGCTCGAATCAGGCTGGCTGGCTAGTCTATAGATTGGGAGGCGTGTTGTTACTGTATTGTCCAAGTGCCAGTACTAATTACTACGCGGCGGACCGAGGACATGGATATATACGCGCCGACCACGCCTGCAGGTCAAGACATGCTGTTCAAATATCATTATCTCACATAATGTTTGAGTTGCGAATACCGCTACGTGGTTCTCCTGTTCGCTCTTTGTTAAGAACAACGGGTTTGTATGGTGGACCTGGCCGCCAAGCGACTTGTTCGCCTCCTCCTTGAAAGAGTTGTAAGGGAGCGTGTTGGTACTACGGGCCATCAAGGGTGCCTCCATATCGCCTTATTCAAAGGTGATGGTGTTATGGGCTAGCTGCTTCTTTACTAGCTTACAAGTGGGCAAAGCGTGTGGGAACATCCGAGACGCAAGATCAACCAAGTAATGTGTCTTCAACTGTAGTAACTTGCCTTGATCTGTGGCCAATCCCGCTATCCCAATTCCTTGTTTGAAGTTGTGTCCCAATTAGTTACTTTGCTTGATTCTGAGACCTGTTGTTGACTTTGCCCCTCCCATCCACGCGCATAATTCTTTTAATGGTCAATCATCGAGGTTTCCTCGTTGTTTATCTCTTTATTGGTATCGCAGGCCGGGTTGATCTGTGGGTAATATCGTCACGACGTGGGTGAAAGTAGTCTGATCGAGGACAGAAGCTGGCATAACAATGCCAGATGGTAAGTAAACTGCTCCGTCGTTTGCCTATTGGCCTGGTAAAACCGGGCAATGCTTTCTGCCAAGGCGTAAAGCGCGGTGATGGTTTTTCCAATACCGCACTCATTCGCGAGGATCGCCGCGCTTATTGGGTGCTGCGATTGCCCTAGTAGCCAGTTGGCATCTAGAGGTGTTAGCCATTTGAGTTTTATAAAAACGGGAAGATAATGAATAGAAAGGGCCCTATTTAAGTTGTATAAAGGCAAAATGTTCGGTTTTATACAACTCAAATAGTTATGTGCTGTCAACTTACCAACAATCTAATGCGGCTTTAGGACAAGGTCGTCATCGTCCTTAGAGACGCGACATATGTCCCATGTTGCGTCTCTGGGGGCGATTCGGAACTCGCTGACGATCCTCTCCAAGTCGTTGGCGCCTGCGAGGTTACCTCCCAGGAGGCGTCGAGATTGGGCCAGGGATGCGATCTCTGGGTCGGTTTCCAACGCGCTCGCCGGATTATGGACGTCGCCCGCAAGGTGACGCGGGACGCCCCGTTCCTCAGCAAGCGCGTGCCTGGCCGTCTCCTCGCCCTCGCCGGCGGAGACGGCCAGTGGCCGCACATCGTCTGTGCCAATGCTCTTCAAGTCGTAGTGCGCCCGGGGGTGCAGTTGGACGTTCGCTACTGTCCTCGCCAGATTAGACAGTATGTCTGTTTCGGCGAGGGTTAGCCTTGACATTTGGACATTCCGGTTGCCTTCGTCGATACATGAGCTAATCTTCCTGAAGGTTGGAAGAGCGAGAAAATGCGATGTTGGTTATCGGCCATGATGGACCGGCGCAGGACCTCTATCATCTCTGCGCCGAGTGTGGCCGAATATGTGGCATCGTACTGGCCAAGCTGCTCCGCCATGCCCTGTACATTGGCGATGTTCTTTGCTAGATTGGAGAGCTCTTGTTGGATTAACAAGTGAAGAAGGGAAAAGGTGAAGTTACAGCTTGTTTGCTGGCTGGATATTATCTATGGCCAGCCGGCAGTCACCTGATCCATATTCCAACACCATTGGTCTAGTAGGTCCGCTGGCGCCGTAAGAGCTGAGGATGATGATGGAGGGATGTCCTTCGTCGCCTCCGCCAGAGGGACTATTAGAAGATGAGAATCTTCAGAAGATGGTTGGCGTCACGATTGACAAAGACAATACCGGCGCCGCTGATTCTCAAGATGAGGTTATTCCTCCTCGACCAAAGTGCCCTCCGGTCCAGCGACTACTGAACATTCGCGATTGCCCCCGCGAATCCTTTGTTGATCTGAGAGTTGATCTGGCAGCTGTTGCGGATCTGACAGGAGGAGTTAGGCTGCAATAGTGGTGTGAAGTGACGCAGTGCGAAGGTGAAGCGTAGCAGTGAAGCAAGGCAAGCAATAACAAGGAGCAGAACAAATGACGCAAGACAAACAAGTGATCAGCTAGATAGACGTATTCATGGCAGACCCTTCCTCCTTGTGAAGGGTCTCCTGACTTCTGACAGTGGGTTATATACTCAGTGTACACACGTGTGCGCCAGGCATATCCCCTGCCACTAGTCTATCTACTGCTGTAGGCAGTTGCCACCTGTTGTCCTGTGACAGATTGGGAACGTCCTGGGGCGGGGTGAGGAGGAATAGAAAATAGAGGTTCAAAGCTGCAGTGAGACAAAAGACTGATGGGTTCTATTTGCTGACAATGGTATGCTCGCCGACAGTGGCCAGGGCTTTATGTTCCGACGACCATGAGTCAAAACTATCAAAGCGGAATGGTGTCGAGCTAGACCGCGCTACGAGTCTGGGTCGGCTGGGAAGGCCGTTGTAGAACCATTTGCGTTCCTCGGCTGTTGGGTGGCCAGGACACTCGCGTCGCTGCAATCAAGGCTAGACGCAATGAGCTCATCAAGAAACGCGCGCTGCTTGACAAGAAGGCCGACAACCATAATGCACTTGATAAGTTCAAGAAGGGACAATCCAAAGCCCTTGAGGACAAGGTCGCCGTCCTAGCCGGCCATCTCAACGCGCAGACCCATTCGAATTATGGGTTGTAGGCCCCCGCGCCAGTCTCGTGGTTCCAAGTAGAGTTGCTGGTCTCATACAAGGGATATACCGATACACAAAGTGGTTGCAATAGTAGGACGATAGTTGGTTTTTGGTTACCAGACAAACGCTTCGCCGGCCCAAGGTGAAGTGAAGGATATTGATCCGTTTGGATGAAGAGGATCGCGTGCTTGGTTGTTGGAGGCGTATACCCGCGTTAGATGGATTTGACCACTGTCAGACCGTCTGGTTCACAAGACCCGTTTCCTCCATTATACTGTATCCGTATCCCTTCACGTACGTGTAACCCATCCCTCCATTCGATCTTGGCCTTGTTGCGCGAGATGAGGTTCTCAGGCGCACGGTAGGGGGAGGCCTTCGTGAGTCCGTCGGCGGGAATGTCGTCAACGTGAATCCACAGAGTTCGCGTCGTTCGTATGACTGTCGCAACCCCATGATGTCAATCATAATGCGTTTTTCGCGTGTAGTACCTAATTTCACAAGGCACTCGTATAGGGAGTATTAGTCGGTACACGCGACGGTCGGGATCGACGGGGTCCCAGTTTTCGCGTGACCATTGCGATAATCGTCGAGAGCGCGTGTGCCATGTCCACGCTGGTCACCATGCCGTATATTCCAGAGGCTAGCACGCTGCGCGTCACTCGTTTGGACTTGAGTATGCTCGCAGTATCTGAATGGGCAACCTTTTGCTTGCCTCCTTCGATCATATCGACTGTATCGGCTGTAACAGGGTGTCCAGGTACCCATGCCCATGCCCATGTGTGGGTGACTGTCCCAACCGTCCGTGACAGTCCAACTCCTCTTCGTTCGCTTTCGCGTTCGCGTTCAGTGGAAGACACCTAAGCCCAGAATTTCACGGCGGAACTCTCGGAAGTCTGACGTCCTCCTTCAGATCGTGGCTAACCTGCTTATGGAATCCGCGAGCGCAGCAATCGCACGGCACAGCTTTGCGAACGCCATAAGCCTGAACCAGCAGAGAGTTGACGGCGGGAGTCCGGCTGGAGAGCTTCCAGAATAACACTCCAAAGTGCCCGGCGTAAGCCTTGTTCACAAACACCCGGCGCGGCCACTTATGGCTATCGTTGGTCAACTCTCTATTGGCAAGAATTTTCTTTAAGACCGACTATTTCGTGCATGTCGCCCAAAAAAACTCGATCGTGGCTTGGCCAACGATTATCTTGCTGCTGGGAGCGATGATTCGAAGCTCGGAGTAGAGAGCTCCAGCCGGACCGGGAAGCTCGCACCAAACGGTATACTTCAAGTGCTAGAAAGGGAAGCAACGATCAGCGACGATTCCCTGCCTAGGAAGGGCCAGATAACTCACAGTCAAGTGGTTGATGCCAACCGATTGAAGACGATGACAACAACTGAACATGTCTTCCCGGGGCCTCTGCCTTGATCCGCGCCACGTAGGCTTTTACGTTCCTTGTCTCGACCCTTGGGTCGAAGGTCTCCTGGGTTTGCAGGATATGCCAGAATACCTTCTTCCCTTGCCCGGGTGTGCGCGCGTTCTTCTGTTGTTAAGTAGTCTTTTGATGTTGTCGATGAAGATCAGAGACAGAGGACTGATGAAACATCCTTGTGGCACGTCGTCAAATGTCTCCCGGTACTGGGCTTCGGAGAGAGTTGGGGCCCAAATGGAGACGAGGGTTATGTCCCATTGTACTTGGTCCGGAGCTTGTCGTACGTAACCCTTTGTTTCAGACGAAAGTTGTCGTGATATAAGCTGCAATTGCGTATCGGCAATTGCGGTTCCGCTTTTGTCATCACAAACGTGTGAAAGCAAGCGGCATTTCCGCCACCATATTACCCAGATATTCACATCAATGACGCTTGCAGCACGAATTAGCTCGCCTTCGGGCTGGGCCTGGGACTGCCCAGTGGGCTAGACCCAACAAGCGAACGTCGACGTTTTTTGGGGGACCCAAGGTTGAATGGCGAAACCGAGGTTCTAGGCCTGACTGAGGAAGAAAGGGATTCTTTGCGAAATCGGCTCGAGATTGATATGGGGAGTCCCTGGGGGACCTTTGAGGCTGAGCTTCCTCAGATCTGCATCAAGTGATCTTGAAGCCCCATGCTTTCCGCTGACAGGTCTACGGTATCAGGTTCCTGGCTTCCATTCTAGTCGGAACCCTAAAGCGAATCGTCATCAAAAGCGGAATAGTTGGTCCAGATGAACGACGGCGCATTCGCCCAAGGCGACGCCATCGACCGTATTAGGTACTCCGTTCATCGGTCGCGCCCCTGATGCGCCTAGCATTCTCGGCAAATTCGCCGAGTCTGCGGCCGCGAAGCTTGCCATAAGCGCCCAAGGCTTCGTCAACGCCATGTCTAGCGATCTCGTCACGTAGATTGTATCCTCCTACCTTACGAGAAGCCTGCGATTGCTGTCTGTTTACTTGATCCCATTTGAGGCCTTAATACAGGCGAAACCACCCTTCCTATGAAGGTGGATGTAAGAAGCTGTAGTGGTAGGCGTAGCTAGGCGTGTTCGCCTCTATCCATTTCTAACAATCAACCCGCTGGTCAATGAACGATTCGCGAGATGAGCTTCGTATATCTAGATTTGCCCACGCAGTTGGGTAAGCAGGACGAGGCGGGATAGTTGTATCCAATGGCGACGTCATTCTGGTGTCTCGGACGTCCAAGCCGCGAACTCGCGCTTCCAGATCCGCGTCGTCAGACGCTTTGAAGGTTGACGTCCATGTCTGCGACTGTGGCAACTGCCTCGTTTGTGTCGGCGATGCGTTGTGGCAGGGTTGGGGAGATTCTCAGGGTGCGTTTGGCTTTGCGATTGTATCTAGGTCGCTCTGTGTCTTGTAAAGACGGGCGTTCAGATTCCACATGGTAGCCCCAGCCGCTGATTTCATCATGCACCTGATCTGAAGATGTTAGACACCTTCGTAGCAGATCGTATCAATATTCAAACGAGTGGCTTACGAATAGTGCTACGGTGCGTTGGGGATCTGATGTGAATCGCCCAACCAAAGCTCGGCGTGCGAGTAATTAGTCTCGATTTGCGGGGGTGAAATCTCGCCACCTACTCCGACGATGAGACGAAAAGGAAATGAGAGTGCAATGGGCTAGCATTGATCTAATTCTCTGATCTTGTCCGGGTAAACGATGTGGATTTCTTCGTAGATCAGATGAGTCGGCAGACTGCAGTAATTACGCGATCCTCAGCGCGTGTACCTGGCAGGCACATCCTCTTCGGACATGGATTCCAAGTTTCGGTATTCACTAGAGGGGATATCCCGTAATGCAATCGATGGCATTAATGAGATCGTGATATTCGTTGTGGTTGTTGTCATCAGCTAGGATCTAGGCGCCCAGTCAAGGGTGAGGGATACTTGTGGGGTGGCGGTATGCCACGTGAATGTCACGTGGCCCACCTCCCCGGACCGTATTACTCATATGCCAACACCAAGTAAAGGCGAATACTTCGTTGCTGTACTTCGGCGGAGCTAGGGGGTAACGGTCGTACCGGGCGAGCGCCTCAGGGTCGGTCTTCTGGAGTACCTTGCAAAACGTCTGGTGTTTTTCTTCTTCTGTCAGCGGCTCCGACTCAAAGTCGGGTAGGCCCTGAGCTCCTCCTCAATCGCCGAGTAGACCTGGGCCACACGATGCTCGCTTGTAATGGCGGCGACGCGAAGGTCGTTGGTGTAGGTGTAGTTGGGCAGCCATGATTACTGTCGACAGCTGTGGGAAGTCTGTGAGGTTTGCTCGGACTAGAGCCCGCTTGGATTTGTCTTGGGAGCTCATTGTCGGGGGAACTCATTGTCGGTGGAACTCATTGTCGGGAGAATTGTGTTGATTCGTATGGATGAGGAAACGGCAGGTTTCGCACCGCCCTCGCCCACAGCGATGTACCGGTAGACAAACACCGGAAGATCATCGACCGGTTCCGGGAGTTTAACCAGTCATGCGCGGGGGCCAGAGGAAGCGGCGAGTACGAGCCCAAACGGCGCACAAAAGTCTTCATCACCACGTACGCTGTCGGCGGCACCGGCCTCGACGCTCTGAAAGTGGCCAACTACTGTGTGTTCACTTTGGCATTCCCGAGAACGTGAATCAGGAGGAGCAAGCGACTGGCTGGGTCGACGGACAGGGCCAGCCCCCCCCCAGAGCTTCGTGTACCATCTACAGTCGACAAGTATCTGGGTTTGGCCGTCGGTCTATCGGTCTGCGAGTGATGCGCCGTGGAGAGTGGTGGTGAATCCCATATCATCGATCATCTGAAGGCTTTCTCTCCCCGGAATTCCTTCCCTTTTCTTTTGCCCTGCCCCTAGAAGCGTCTAGGGTATTGGATTGGCGGCGGGAAGAATTTAGAGGGGGACCGGCTCGAGAGTCATAAAACCACACTCGCTGGGCTGGCTGGTAGGCGCTTTTTTGTTTGCTGCCTCATCACCACCTATGCCCTCGCCAGCACCGAGCTCGACCGCATCAAGGCGGCCCCCTACCTCATGCGTTACGGCGTCCAGTGCAACGCCAACGGCACGAAGCAGGCTACAGAGCGTCTCGACGTCAAGGGAGAAGGGTTAGTTCTTCCGATTGATTGTCAGGCGTCTCATGTTGGTTGAATACGACATCAGAATGACGTGGCTGGCGGTGTTGGGGTTGACGCGGAACAGGTCAAACAACGCCACCAGCGCCTTCGTATCCGCGATCGTGTCATCAACTCGGTGAGCCGGCGAGTTGGCTTTGTTTTTGTAGAACACGTGTACCGTGAAGTGCGACGCGCAATAGTCTTTGACGATTCGGTACGTCTGGCCTAGCACAGACGCAGGCATGAGGATGGCGGACGGGCAATAGTCGAAGTTGGGGTTGTCTTTATTCTCTGACTCTTGACGCGTGATTAACTCGGCTAAGGCGAACAGCGAGGTGTTTGTCTTCCCGATGCCACATTCGTTGGCCAGGATCCCTCCGCATATCGCGGATTTCAATGCCCCTCAGGCGTGCCTGCTGTGCCATGTGTTGATTCAGAGTCATTCCAGGTGGCGTGTTGAAGAGTTCTGTTACCTCGCGTGGGTATGACGGCTTGGGAGGTGCAGGTGAATTCGTGGGCGCGACGTCTGTGACTGTCTGATCGGTGACGTGCTGCGGTCCCGAGGCACTCGGGACAACCGGCGTCAGATCCAGCGGCGCTGGGTTCGCGAGCGCCGGCGTGAGCGGGCCAGCATCAGTCTTGGGTGGCGGTAGTGGTGGATGGGGGGCTTGAAATCCTTGAAGATTCGAGTCGATCGAATCAGGTTCAGGTGAGCGGCGGCCTGCTGGAGAAGTATCTGCCACTTCACTAGGACTGGTAGAGAGTGAATCTGAACTGTCGCCTTGTCTATTACGGATGTCAGTGATGCTTGGTTTCTAGGGGAATTGATGATGAGTAATTACTCACAGTGGCTGGTGCAGGAAGTCCATGGTCTTGTCCCATGGCTTCTTTTCGCCGGGGAGGCATGCAGCATACATTTCGCAAATGGCGAGGGGGGACACTTTCGAACCTCGCTTTAGGCCTGTAGAGCGAAAGAAAACCCGAGCTTTCTGCCAGAAACGTCATGACACTCTCCGCTTCGAGTATGCCACATGCCAAAGTCGTGTCAAGGGCGTGTTGATGAGAGTTCGTTCCTCGTCCTATGTCAAGTCAGCATCCATACGCACGAAGGAAAGGGAGACACGGACGTCAATGGAAGCGCTGGCGTGCCAGGCGGTCTTCAGGGAAGAGCCGAACCACTGGATGGAGGCATGCAATCTATGTTTTCGAACGTACCAAAGTCTGGTTCGAACTGGGTAACGTCCTCCTCGGAAAGGGTATCCAGCTGCTTTCTGATACCGATGACAGCGCCGTGGTCATGGTTGCCGCATATGAGACGCCCAGATGGCATAGATTCCCAGAATCCAGGCCGCTGTGGTGTCGATGAGATGACTTAGAAGGGCCGAAGATGCGCTACTGCGGTCGAAGCACGAGGCTACAAGGTCTCAGCACTTCGTTGTCGGGATCGGGTCGGATTCTAGTCCGGCTGCCGAACAATCTTGCGAGTCCTTAGTGAGGCCGATTCAGGTCATTCGGTTTGGCCCGCTTTGCGGCCTTCTTCTTTCTTGCCGCTAGAGCACCCATCAGGAGTTGGAGGACAGCCACCAACAAGCTCCATCAAATGTCGGGGTGGATATGACCGACTCTCGATTGCCCTATCTTTCGTCTGCCCGCGTACATACGCGATGATAGTCGCGCCATCGCCCTGGGGGAACTGATTCTCCAGAGCCTTCCTGGCCACCAAGACTCAAAGTGTTATTCGCAAGCTCTGATCGAATACTCAAGATAGTTGAGCCATCGCTCTGTGGGAACTGATTCTCCAGAGCCTTTCCACCAACCAAGGCCTGCCAATAACCCTTGTGACGATAAATCGGCTACTGACCGGTTGATATAACCTTTGGGGAACTTCGCCGCCGACCGCAACGAATGGACCTTCAACCATTTCGACAGGTACTGTGCCAGTTCTGACCGTGGAGTCAAGGGGCTCCTGGAGCTCTTCAACAGTTGCGACCAGAAAAGTAGCCCATACGTCCTCTGTCACTTTTTGCTGCTCAATGCGTCTTTTGGGCATGTTGCGGAGCTGGCTGGGCATCTCTTCCTCGCAGATCGCTTCAAGTATAGCCAGCTTTTCTTCCAAACGATCAACGTACCTGATTTCAGGCAAGGTGGACGCGTTCGTCTTATTTCTTTCCACAAGCTCTGGTCGAGTACGCAAAGCTCATGCAACAGATACAGTTGGCCCTTGCTACTAGGGTGGAAGCAGTAGTTGCGGTTTGCGTCGTTTCCGGAGCTTTGGCTGGGTAGTCATGGCTGCTATTGAACAACTCGAGACCCAGGCAACCCGACACCTGAAGAGCGCGTTCGATGCTGACCATCCATTATTGATGGTGGACAGAGATGGGGGGTCGACCAAGCAGCTCCTGCTTGTTTATTAGAGTAGAAGAGGTCTTTTCTGTGATACTCTCCTCCGACATCAATGTATCTGCCTCTCTGCTTTCGTTTGTATTGGTGCTTATTGATGGCACTACAGTTTGGTCTGGTTTCTGGTCTGGTTTCTGGTCTGGCCTTTGATGCGGCCCCATGACTTTCGGATTATTTCCTTCAGGTTGAGGGGGCTCATCCGCTTTCTCAAAGACAAGGTTTTGTCGAACCACTGATCAGTGTTGGTATCACAGGGATCGCGATAGAATAGCAGCAATAGTATCAATTGACTATTGGTTGCTGGTTGAAGATGATGATCTTTGCGTAACGGACGCAGGGCTCGAAGGGTTCTTCTCCAAATATCGTGAGACATCTGGGTACTTTCCTCACCACCGACAACCCGCTCACCTTCAACGGCGGCGTGGTATCGTTGACTACCGATGGGAAGCTCCTTCTCCGACAAAAGGGCCAAGGCAAGAAACTTCAACCCGTCGACGAGCAATCTCCGCAAGCAATCAAGCAATACGTCGAGCAACGAGCCCGCGGTGCGTATATTGCGTCAGTCAGGGCTTCGAGCTGGGTAGCGTTCAGAATTTCTGGTAGGGGTGAAGTATCTTAACCTTTTCCGATGATATTGATCCTTGCTGATCTGCGGTAGTGGCGACTGTGCTTCATTTAGATCTAGCCTCTTCTTTGGCTTCGTCAAGTCTGTTTCTTTGGGCTCATGGAAAGTGACCTTCCTGGGTGGTTTCATCTGCTGCGGAGTGGATGGGTTTGCGGTATAAGGACGTCAACTAGGGGTATCGGAAAGCTGCGTCCTGGAATGTGCCCTGGGCTGCGGATGCCATGGTTTGTACAGCGTCCGTTTCCATCTTGATAGCAGCCGAGTCCGCTTCGTAGGATATGAAGAAGCGGCAGGCAAACAGACCAAGTTTGTCAACCAGGAGAAGCTCATGTACGGAATCGAGCTTCGATTCCATTGGATTCGGAAGACCACGTTGGGAGGGCTTGATGACAGCCCTCCTACGGTGGATGCAGACCCCCGAGATCTTTGGAAACAGTGGGATGAAGGCGATGTGTTTTGTGGTATTGGAATCTGTTGTTTCCAGCATCGCCAAGTCGCCCAGGCGGTCCAGCTGCGGCATATCAAACGGCATATTAGGTGTTGCAAAATGTTGCGGCGAATCTTGTTCGCGGAGGGTATGCGCCAGTAGGTACATCTTTGCGATATCTGTGTTGGGAGATGGTTTGACGCGTGTGGCACGCCAGCCAATGCGGGTGGTATCGCGGGGAAGTCGGTCCTGGTACACTTCCCAACTGTCTTTGCAGAGTGGAAAGGCAACAAGTCCCTCGTTCCCAGGCCGGGTCTAAACCCCCCCCCTGATCCCGACTCTTCGACCGACGTTAAGGATGTACGAGACGTCGAATGACTCTTCCGACGAAGGATCTTGTCGACCGTCGCGTTCCGGAAGAGGTTGGTCGGTGTTGAGGCGCTTGGAACCTCGCTAGTGTCCGACTCGTTCTGCGCCTACATTTAGTTAGCAACGGCGAAGGCTGTGCGGAGGAAGGGCGACAAAACTTACCTGGTAGCCACGAGACCGCAGTCCATGGTCGGCAGTATGTGGAGGCAATACTGCGCATATCTTGCCTCAACCGTAGCTGAAGCGATCACGATGGTCAGGAAGCGAGAAGGCTGCCAGTGCGGAGCTCCTTCTGCTTCGGCGTCACGGAACGGGCATGTATAGATACCCTGGCGGTTGCGAAGCGGTATATGTCGGTCGATGTGTTTGCGGTAGTCAATATAGTCGTCTCGAAAACACCGTAGGATCGCCATTACGGCGCGCGGTTTGTTGATATTCCCCTGTTGGTAGGAACCAGCCAGCTTGTGGAAGGGCTTCGTGATACGATCCTGTCCCCATAGGTATTGTCGGGAAAGGGTAGGGGCCGCCCGGATGTCTGCGACCAGTCCGTCCATCGCGGACGTTGTCAGCGTCCCACTGTCTCCACATATCGTGAGGGCCTGCATCTGGTGCGGACGGGCTGTCATCGAGCCCTCTCAGCTTGTTATGCTCCGTTGGTGGAGCTGGTGATGGAGAAGAAGAGTAAAAAGGGGGATATTAGGAGGGAGGTTGAGAGGGAGATGAAGAGGAGGAATGGAGCCCCCAGGCTGGCTGGGCATAACCCGGTAAGGGTTTGCGCGAATGGCTTGCACCTCGTTTGGGTGCTGAGCCTCAATGAGCAGGCCGGCCTCGGTGACCAAACCCTTGAGATGGGCTGGGGCCAAAGGATTGACCTGGGCGAAGGTTGTCGCCTCAATCGCCGGTCAAGCTTCTCCGAGTGCCCATAGGTGCCTGCCAGTAATGGCAGAAGCTCATGCTGCTGCCAGGCATATATCTGCCAGGAGTTGTGCCATGTCGGCAGGTAGGTAGGAGTGAGGATGTATATAAAACTTGGGGGTGAGGATGTCGCACTGAAATGACTTCTTCACCACGGGCCCAGGACAGGACATATATACCCCCCCAGATCTCGGGATTCATGGCCGCCGCAGGCTCTTCCGACACCGCTCTTTTGCCATCTTCCGGCACTTTCTACTTTGCGGGATGATGCATACATACATACCGGCTTGGCTTGTTGTTCCGCCAGCAAACGCTCCGGCAACATCTGCTGCCCCGGATGGATGCCTACGTACGGGCAGACAGGCAGGTCGAACAACAAGCATCCTCCCATGCATGGACCCGGATCTCGGCCACAAAAAGGTTGTCTGTTTTTAAACATCTGATCTCATTTATGCCGTATTCTACGTTTGTCCCTTGTCATTACATACACCACCCCCCCGTCCCGTCGTGGTGTTTTTGTCTTTCGCGCATATTTGCCCTGTCCCGTGTGCCAAAGCCCAAATACCTATCAAGATATTAAAACAAGAAGAAAAAAAATGAAGGAAGAAAAAAAAACGATAAGCAACCCATTCTTCTATGCGGCCGCTTGCTTGGGGAAGCAAACTAAAAAAAAAAAAAAGCCATCCCCTTCAAACAGCAAAAAAAGTTGTCCATGTCCCTTACCTCCCAAAGAGGCTGAACCGCAGCTTTCCCTTTCTGGGGACCGAGCTGTGCCCGCTCATCGGCCGCTCGTCGTAGCTGATGATGCTCGAGGCCGGCCGGGGTGCGGTTCTCGGCGGGCTGTTTCCGTTGTACATGTGCTGCTGCTGGTGCTGCTGTTGTTGCATCTGAGGCGGTGGCGGCGGAGGGGGGAAGTCGCCGCGCAGGGCGCGCTCGACGTCGAGGTGCTGGCGCTCGTACTCGTCGTGCTTGGCCTTGGCGTCGATGAAGCGCTGCTCGGCGAGGAGGCGGCGGTCCTGCAGCGCGCGCAGCTCCTCGTCGAGCTGGGCCATCTGGCCCTGGGCGTCCTCCATGAGGGTGTGGTACTGGAGCATCTTGCGCTGCAGCGGCTCGAGCACGCTCTTGGAGATGCTGGGGCTCTGGATGCGGCTGATCTCGTCGCCGAGGGGGCCGCCTCCGGGCGGGGTGGGCGGGCGGAGGCCGCCGCCGCTGCCTGGGTTCGGGACCTCCTGCTGCTGCTGCGGCTGCTGCGACGAGACGCGGGGCGACCCGCCGCCGCTGCCGTTGATGTGGGAGACGGAGGAGGAGGGCAGGTCCGAGGATCCCGGGGCGCGGGCGCCGCCGGAGGAGGAGGACTGGCGGCGGGCGTGGCGCTCTGTGCGGCGGCGGGAGTAGCCGCCGGCGCCCCCGTTCGCGGCTTCTCTGGAGGCCGGGCTCCATTCGTCCTGGGTCTCGCCCATGTAGGGCGACATTTGCGACGGCACGGGCGGCGGCGGCGGTTGGGAGCGGCGGTTTTGCGATGCGTTGGCCATGGAGGGCGGACCGCCTCGGGGGCCCGCGGCGCGGGGTTGTCCGCCGCGGGCGCCGGTGCCTGTTGGGACGACTCGCTGCTGCATGGCGGTCAGACTCTGCATGTTCTCATAAGAGTGGTTTGGTTGTGGTTGAAATATGCATAGGAAGAGGGTAAGGGGGGGGGGGGGGGGCTTGTTGGGTTGGGGCAGGAGGGAATCAATCAGATGAGTGAATTAGCGAATGAGGGAGAATGAGTGAGTGAGTGAGTGAGACAGTTGTTGGGTGGGTCGGTGAGTCGGTGAGTAAGAATACGAGAGTGAAAGTGTATGTGCGTTTGGGTGAGATGTTCAGTGCAGGCTGGTTGCATGTTTCGCCCTGTTTTTGCTTTTCCGCCTTCTGCTCTCTCCTTTTTTCATGTCTTCCCCCTCCCCCCTTATTTCTCTCAGGGGGTTGGTTTATTTACTTGGCAGTGCCTGTCCGTACTTACCTGTGTGTGTGGCGCCTGGGCGAGCACGGCATCGCGCAGGGCAGCGTCGGAATCCGGTGTCCGCTGGCCCTCACCGTGTCCTCCTCCCCCGACGGCGGTGGTGAAGCGGGAATCGTCGTCGAGCGAGGACGAGCGAGGTCGTCGATACCGGCCGTTCCTCGCTTCGTCCCGGGGCTGGCGCGAAGGGTCGCTGTTGGCGTCGTACTGCTGGCCGTACTCGACAAAGTCGACGGGAAACATTGGGGGCGAGCCCTGGTGGTGCTGCTGCTGGAGTCCCATGGCCATGATGGCGAACGAAACGGGGTCGACGTTCCTTGCGGAGTCGATCTTGGGCGAAATTCGGTGACTGCTTAGGGGGGGTGGAGGGGACCCTGAGGTTGCAAGATTGGACTGGACAGAAGGAGAGAGAAAGTGAGAGCTCTGTCTTTTGAGTGAGTGTCTGTGTGAGATGCACCACACGGTTGACAAGAGATAGAATAGACAAAGACCCCGTTTGGAGTTTCACTCGGAGACGGAAAACCAAACACGCGAGAATGAGAGAGCCGTTGGAAAGTTTGGAGGACAAGCTAGAGAAAAGAATCACAGACACATTTGCATTCCCGGGAGGTTTTTCTCTCTTGACGGATCCCGGTCTTTCATGGCCAGTTTGCTTCTTTTTTTTTTTTTTTTAATCTCTGGCAAAGATTCCGAGTGGCTGGGAAACACTAACAATTTCCTTGTCCACTCAAATCGCACCACATTTTGTTACGTGCAGTTTTGATGAGTATGATAATACATACGTGTCGGCGACAATTGCAGTGGCTGGGAACGGTGACGGTGGGTGGATTCTCCCCCCTTCCCCACTAAAATTCCCCTCCCCAACTCGACGTGAAGAGGTTCCCCTCCCAACCTCCGGTTACGATGGTCGCAATGCACTTACCTACGGTATTCGAAGCAGGAGGAAAAACTGGCGCCGACGTCTTGCTTTCAGGGAAGTAATGAACAAATGCTACGTGCAGAACGAGTGGGATGGAGTCTCTGGGAGCTACCAGACTAGGAGTTGCCCTGGATTGATTGCCGTGAGCTGCGTCCGGGGTGCCACGGGAAGTGGACGTTGGGTTGGAAGACTCGGTCCAATTACGGATACATGGCAAAGACAAAAGGGTAAAAATAGCCCGCCGGGATACCTAGGCCATGATAAGCTATCGGCAGAGTTTCCCGTCCCTTCCATTGCCACGGTAGGGTGTTCTGTGTCGATACAAAGCAGCAGCCGTAATGATTTACACGATGCCGGCGGATATTCGACCCCGCTGCTTCTCGACCACCTCTTGCGGGGTCCTTCTATAGACCGAGACGTTGATCTGGGCTGGAACTACAACTCTGCTTGGCTTCACTTGCATTATTTCCATCCGTGATGCCCAGTGTCTTCCCCGACCTCCTCGTACGTGAAGATGCAGAAAAATTCAATGGCACTCCGTGATCTGGTCTGTGTGTGTGATTCAAGCCTGGGGAACTCGGCCGGTGAAGGGGGTGACGAATGTTTGGGGTATCGTGGCCCCCCTCAATTGTGCGCAGGGGAGAAATGAAGCTATTGCGGGTTGCCTTGTGCAAAAGGCAGGAGAGAGACATTATCCACCGCCCGGGTGGATCACGTGGGTGGTGGGTCGTATCGGAGATAAGCCCCGCCATCCACTGCCGGGCATCGCATCAATTATAGGTACATCACAGACTATTACCGTACAGCTTTCCCGCGCCTTCTCACGGCATCATCACAGTGTCGATAACACAAGAGAAAGCTCTTTCAAGCCGTGGAGTATGTATGTTATACAGGCTTGAGAAAGATTAACCAACTCACACGGTCGACTCAAGTGCTTGTAAAGGTGCTGACAATCAGCCAAGCCGCATCGCGTGGGCTGTGATCTATATCTCCCTTCGGATTCTGGCAAACAAGACGCTTTTTATATCATCGACGCTCGCCTCACAGCCACAGCGACAAGGCCCTAGCTGCATATCCTGCCAGATCCGCATCAAGAATGTTTACGACAAGGCTTATGACAGGGTTTCTCTGATGCGTCTCTATCAGCAGCATAAGGCATGTGTTTCTTCAAACAGGTACATCCACGTAGCAAGGCAGTGTAGCGGTTGCATCGTCCGAATCGTCTCGCTTTGGTGGGCACTCGATCGCCAATCACCCCCTGCCCAGAAAGGGTCAGCGTCCACGATCCACTGGGGTATCGAAATACCCTGCCTATTGGCTCGGGGATGCGACCCGGGGCACCCTTGATGGTGTGATCCGACACTCTTCAGCAGGTTGCCGGCATCTTAAAAAGAACTTACAAACCTTGAACAGGCAGTACCTAGTGTACTAAAGAGGGCGTTTCTCCTCATTCCGCCCCCGTCTGGAGTGGTTCCCGCCGTCTCGTTTCAAAACAGTCTGAACGCTCGACGGTTTCGCCGAAGCTGTCAGGAACGAACCACGGACAGTATACCTCGAACCATGGCATCCACCCCAGCCGAGACAGAGCCGGCCGCCGACCCGATCCACGCAGTAAGTGGTCTTGGTTATTGCTGTTGATGGCAGAATGCTCGGGGGGACTTGCGTGTATACGCCGATCGACATGCTGACTCACACAAACTACCAGGACCCTGCGGTTGAAGACGACTATAATCCTGATGAGATCCAGAGGTTGATGACAATCCCGAACAAGGGCCTGAAAGACATCCTTCTGACCAGCTTGAAATTAGTCTGTTGACTTCTTCTACGGCCTCCCTCACCGATAGTGTCCGCGAGTATCGCCAACTCCACGGCCGGACCTACACCCAAAAGACGAATTATTTCGCACCGAATGATGACCAGCAGAACGATGCCCTGGATTTCAAGTACAGACAAGCTCAAATCGACACGAAAAGTAACCGGGATATGCGGGGACACATGCTGACTCGGGGCGTAACAATATAGCCACTACTGGGTTACCGACTTCCTGGGCGATAGACTCTTCCTGGCCCCGATTGGCGATAATCCCCAGGTGAGAACGCTCTCTTTACCATGGCCTCGTTGAGCGCGATGCAGTAGCTGACTCCGCCAGTAGAAAGTGTTGGATCTCGGCACTGGCACCGGGATCTGGGCCATGTGAGCTGGAAACCCCACTCTGCACAGCGCTCCGGCATCTGACAAGCAGTTCTCCCCCCTCCCAAGGGACTTCGCCGACCAGTTCCCGTCCGCCGATGTGATCGGCATCGACATCTCGCCGATCCAGCCGTCGTGGGTCCCCCCGAACTGCAGGTTCCAGATCGACGACTTTGAGAAACCGTGGACGTTTTCGGACCCTTTCGACTTCGTCCACGCCCGCAACCTCGAGGGCTGCATCGCGGACCTGCCCAATTTTTTCAAGCAGATATACGACAACACGAGGCCGGGCGGGTGGTTCGAGATGATCGAGTTCGACCCCGAAGCGCGGTCCCAGAGCCTGGGCGAGCTGGGCGAGGACCACATCTTCAAGCGGTGGTACAGGTACCTGGAGACCGCCTCGACCAAGATGGGGAAGCCGCACGGGAACGCCGCCAACCGCAGGCTCGCCAAGGGCATGAGGGAGGCCGGCTTCGTCGATGTTGTCGAGCTGAAGTGGACCATACCGATCGGGGCCTGGCCGGCCAAGCCCGACATGAAGAAGCTGGGCATCTGCAATCTGGAGTACATCGAGCAATCGCTGGAAGGGTTCGGCCTCTTCCTGCTGAAAGAAGCGCTGGGCTTTTCATACGAGGAAGTGCAAGTCACGCTTGCGGAAATGAGGTCTGCACTTCGCAACCCGAAGAACATGCCGTTCTATTACATGTATGCACGACCGAGGACCGACGGTATTGCTTGGGCCGCGACTGACGCATCAGATAGGCACGCCGTATATGCACGCAAGCCGGGGAAAGGCCAGGGAAGCGTTCTTGCTGCAGCATGACACTGACCTTGGTGGTTCGGCAATCTGAGAATTGTCAACATGGCGCTCTTCTCCTCAATAGCCTGGTCTCGATGGTGAGGCTCCAGGGAGACAACCTTTTTGATACCTTGTTCAGCTATGTTAAGCACCACATGGGCGTAGATATGCATACTGCCCAATCATTCTGTCCTTAGCCAAGGAGATGAGCTTGACGGAATGATCCAAGACAATATAAGTCTGTCCTCGCCGGTTGCAGCATATTTTTCAGATGGTTCTTTCAGCAATCGAATCCGATAGTTGTTCGCTTCAGGAAATCTGCGTGCTCGGGCAAATACTTTTGCTATATCGGCGGGACTTGTGTGCTGGCGACGGTCACGCGAAGTCGCTTCTTCAGACTCTCGTTCCTAATGTCGGATGGGAGAAGCCAGACCAGGGCCCCTCGATTCTTGCCATCATGTTCGCGAATCAAGGCATGCGGCATCTCCAAGTGCTTTGCTCGTGATGGAGTGATCCTTGAGGAATACTGCCTGTTTGCAGTATGACCAGGTCCGAAGACCTCAAGATCCAATGTTTGGTCGCGCGTGACACTCGTCTCGGTTTATTCTCAGATAAATCCATGGTGTTATTGGGTTCCTTTCATGGGTAATTATAAGGAGATAAACTGCAGCAGTAGTGGTAGAGCCCCCAAATTATGCGTTTAATTTCCGTACTTTCCACGATCACCGAGGACAGGTGGATATCACGTGTACGTGTACTCGACCAGGTAGACTCCCACGGCTAAAGGCTAGGTACCTTGGTACGGAGTAATAAGCAAGCCAATTGCCGACGGGTCCACAGGCGATGTCACATCGCGTCGCGTCACGTCTCCTTACGTCAGCAAATCCTCCACCCGAGTACACTACCGGTACAATGTACCTACCCTCACTACCTACCTAGGTAGGTACCTAGGTAAGTGGGTAGTCAGGCCAGGGGACTGAGGTGGTATTCGTACTGCCGTTGTGTCCGACAGCTCTCCATAGAACCCGCGGCCAAAGCTCCTCCAGCGCGACTCAAGAGCTGCCTCTTGTCCCCCCATTTTTCCCACGTCCGTCACCACAAGGCTTCAGCAAGCCCATCACCTCGTCGCACCGCGTTGCAGATACTCAGCCTGCCCAATTGATCGCGTCTATCGCTGGTTTCCCGCCGCTGTCATCATCAAAGGCAAAGTGGGATATTTTCCCCTCCAACTTTCCGTTATCAACGTCGTGTAAAGTCGGCCGGCGCAACGCCATCCTGTCACGACGACATCCGAGAACGCGCGCGCAAAAACCCTCAGCACTTTTCCTGCAACCAAGCCAACCCATTCATCATGGCCCGTACGACGGAATCGCCCGCGCCGCCGAACGGTACACAGCCTGTGAAAAAGGTGCAGACCACCTTGATGCACAGCGCCCACAACTTTCTGTCTTCCTCCGCCAAACCCTCCGGCTCGCAGTCGCCGCACCCGGGCAAGCGCTCCATAAACATCGGCGCCACTGGAACCCCCCGATCGGACGCGTCGCCACCACACTCTCCGTCCTCTCAACGACCCTTCCCTCACCTTCCCGTGAGCCCCTCACCCCGTCACGCCTTGAGCGACACCGCCGGCGGCGACACGGCTGGTGCTGATGGCGCCACTGCCGCCGATATCGTAATCGCTGCTGCTCCTCCCGCCGAGCCCGCAGATGCCGCCGACACGACCCCAGCGCCAGCCAACGCCAAGGAAGCAACTCCCGATGCCGAAGCAGCCTCGTCTACCCCGGAACCCACCGCGCAGCGCGCTGGGTCCAATGTGCTCGCGTCCGTGCGCAAGACGTTACATTCTGCCGTCAACAGCTTCAGCACACAACGCACCGGCACAACCACCACCGTTACTTCCACATTCGAGCACACTGTCGTGAGCCGCAAACGCAGCAGGGAGCCCGAAGCTGAAGAGACGCCCGCGCCTGCCGCAGAGGATAATAACATTGACGCTGCCAACGGCGACGATATCACGATCCAGCTTGGTGACCAGCTCGAGACAGAGGAGATGCGCGCCCAGAGCCCCGTGAAGGAGGCTGTCCAAGGTAAGTTGTGACTCGATCTGGTGCCCCAAAGTTTTGACGCTCACTCCCGGCACAGTTCCCTCTCCGGCCGCGGAAGGCGCCGAAATCAACGTTGCCACTGCTGCGGACAAGGCAGATACAGACACAGTCGAGGCTGCTGCGGCTCCCCAAGATGCCGCCCCCGAGGCGGTCGACGACGATGACGTGGAAATGGACGACCACAAGGCGGGCGTTTTTGTGCTCGACAAGATCATTGGGCATCGCCCCGATCCCAGGGACAAGACGCTCTTCCAGATGCAAGTCAGCTGGAAGCACGGCGAGCCGACGTGGGAGCCGGAGCAGACGATCCAGGAGGACGCCGAGGAAGCGCTCTTTGCCTACTGGGTCAGCGTCAAGGGCGGGCGGCTAGGCGCCATGGCGGACAAGAACCTGTGGCACGTGCTGAGGATCGAGAAGCACAAGCAGAAGCCCTCGGGCGCCATCCACTTCCTCGTGTACTGGATCGGGTCGCCGGACCGCTCCTGGGAGCCCGAGAGCCAGGTGGAGGTGTACGCCCGGCAGCACGTCGAGAACTACTGGAGGTCCAAGGGCGGACGCGAGAAGAACGTTAAGAGCGTCGCCATGCCCGTCAAGAGAGGCCGTGGCCGCCCTAGCAAAGCCACCGTGTCGGAGCCGGCGACGGAAGACGAAGCGCCCGAGGAAACCGTCAAGGTGGCCAAGCCCAGGAGCAGGCCGGCGCGGAAGCAAAAGCGCGACGGGACAGAGGACGAGGCCGAGAAGACGGAAGACGCCGTCACCGCCGAGGTTGACGGGGAGCCCCCCAAGAAGCGCGCCCGCGGCCGTCCCCGCAAGAACCCCGTCTCGTGAGCTTGTTGCGATGTGATACAGGGGGGTAGCTACCAGGGGGGGAAGAGGAGCCGTTCGTACGACGTCCATAGTTTGGACGGATTAGGGCTCGGATGCCAGGAGACTTTGGGGGAGGGGCATATGCTACGATTTCACGGGGTTCTCGAAACAACGATGCTCTGGGCGGACTGCAGAGCCGGCATGTGGGATGTGTGAACGGACCCAAGGGGGGGGGGGGGGGGGGGGGGGGGGGGTGTTATGCTGTATCATACGTTCTTGTCGCATTTTTGTCTGCAGGTTTTTGGCGTCTTCTCCTCCCGCCGGTTTCTTTAAATATTAGGGATGGTTTCCTGGTCGGTCCTCGTCTGCCCTGTTTGCTGGGCCGTGAAAGTGACCTCTTGGCTTGCTGCCCCCTTACGAGTCCCTAACGAGGTGGGTGGGGGCCTGGGTCCCGCCCCCGTCAGCCAACATGCGGAAGAAGCTTTGCTTGAAGGATTCGAAGTCAAAAGTAGGTATCCGTATTAACGAGTAAACTGTGCCCATCGTATACGGCTCCCCCCAAATTGGCCATCTCGACAATTTGGGTTTCCCGAGCCTCACCTCGCCTCAGCCTTTAGCCCCGTGGGATGTGTCGCTTCTAAACCTCTTTTCTCCCTCTCCCCCCTCTCTCTCTCACCCACTTTTTTTTTTCTTTCTTTTTTTTTTTTTTCAATTTCTATTTCTCTTCTTTTCTTCTTTCTCTTGTCTTTTCGTTGTGGCCGTTTCCTCCCGCATTGGCCAGTGGTTTGCCGGTCTGTTTCATCCCAGAAGGGGATATGGACGGCGTAGCATCCGACAAGGAAGATGCATGACGTCCGTCCCTTCGCACGGCCCCTCGGGCGCCCCCGTGAATTTCAGCTACTTACCGCCCTTCCCTCCTTTCTCATTTTAAATATTCCAAAACTCTATTTTTCCCTTCCATCTTACCATGGCCAGAAAAGAGGAGCGATGCCGCGTTGCCGGCCGTTGTTGGATTTGACGAAAAGAACAAACCTTGGACAGTTGGCCGGGGAACCCTATCCAGCCCCCCTTCCGAACGACGACTCGTCGGTTAGTATTTGGCAGGCAATTACTGAGGCGGTGCTAGGCGCAGTTCGGGTTCTGGTGTCTAGGCCCGGCCCCGGGGGACATGCGGCCGGGAGGTTCCGGTCCCCTCTCCGTCCCCCGCCGCGGATGTTCGGTGAAAGGGCGGTGGCTTGGTTCGGTATACAGGGTTTTTGATTTATTTCTTCTGCCCCCTCGTGGAGATAATGCTTGGGAAATCATAATGAAGGGCACAAGCCTCATGTTCACGGCAGAGAGGGGGGGATACGCCACATGCCCTCCGCTGGTTTCAGGAGCGCGGGCTCGTCGATATCCATATCCCCTACAAGTTACAACCCGTCCTCACAACCTCCTCCACCACCACCACCACCTCCTCCTCCTCCTCCTCCTCCTCCTTCCCAACACCACGACTCTGCCAACATCGGATCCTCTAGACTTCTCGGCTTACCGCGCGTCTCGTCGCTGGCAAGACCAATCGGAAGTCGACGGATCCCACAAAACTCTCGCGCATCCTTTTTTATCTTGGAGGAGGGGACTCCTCCCGATATCCCCCTTCATGGGTTACCCTCTTCCCGTCTCTTGAAACGCTTGTATTCCCTTTGCCGTTCGCCTACGACTCGCAATCTCGATGCCCGGAACCCCTTGGGTTTGATGCACTAGGTGTGGCCAGATATTCCTCTATATTAACACCCATGGGGTGAAACGTGTGGTCCATTTGGGACGGAGATGAATTAACCAAGTGACAAACGCCTTTTTCCCCCCCCTTCCAAAGTGGCATCGTGTGGCCCAGCGAGATATCATCATCCATGGTCCCCCGATAAAAAAAAAAAAAAAAGCGGTATCATTTGAGCCAACCATGCCAGGTAGAAAAAAAAAGGACAAAAAAAAGCCATAGCCCCTGCCCCGCCCCGCTGCTTACCCGAACCCAAAAAGACCCGTTTTACCCGTGGACCCTGCCGTAGCGAACAGATCGCCAACAGTCCCCTCACCGTCCCATGGGTGCGTAATCTCGGGGGTTGTAGGTGTAGGGCTGGTAGGCTTGGTAGGATTTCGGCCTCAGGACCTTGTGCGCCGAAGTGGCTTCGTCCATCTTGCTGATGACGTCGCCGCCGCCGCCGCCGCGGTGCTCCTCCTGCGTCTCGGGGTGGGTGGGCAGCTCGGACGAGAAGCCTTTGTGGTCGAGGGCGGGGCTCGCGAAGCCGCTGCTCGCCTCGGACGACGCCATGCTCGTCGGGCGCGAGCTCTGCTGCGAGGAGGGGCTCCGCTGGTCCTGGGACCAGCGCCACGAGTTGGGGTCCGGCGACTGCTGGGAGGACGGCCGCGACAGGGAGTCGTGGTCGGCGCCCAGACCGGGTGAAGGCTGCGGCGGGGGCTTCGGGTGGTAGAAGTTGCCCGGCAGCTCGGCGACGAAAGACGTCTGCGGGGCGTCCTGCTGCGATTGCAGGTCCGCCGAATGGCTGTAGTGGTGGCCGAAGCGGCCCGGGGGTGGCGGGTTCGCGTTGTAGGACGATACGGGTCTCGGAATGTGGTAGGGCGCGGGGGGCGAGTGAGAGTCGTGTCTCGGACTGGCGGCGTCGGGGCTCAGGCTGGCGGAGGCGGGCGAGCGCAGGCCGGACAGCCCCGTGGTGGTGCGGTCGGCGGGGTTGATGGTGCGCAGCTTGCCGTTCTCGATCATGGCCTGCAGCACGCCGGCGTCGAGCAGCTCGGCCTTTTTGATGATGCGCGAGACCATCTCCTTGCTGGCGGCCTTTAGCTGGGCCTTGACGAAGCTGACCATGGTCACGTTGCAGCGGATCTCAATGTCCTCGCGCAGGTAGAGGCCGTCGGCGGGGATGCCTAGACCGCCGGTGCCGATCTCGGGGGGTTGGGGCGGTTCGACGCCGGGTTGGTTGCCGTCGATGCGATACTTGATGCGGATGTCGATGTTCATGGGGGCGTAGGTGTGCGTCTGCAGGCCCCAGGGCATGTCGTGGAAGCAGCCGTTGAAGCTGATCTTGCCGGAGCCCATCTTGCCGATGCCGGGGACGTACTGGATGCGCTGGCTGATCTCGTACCATGTCGAGTAGTACTCGTCTGAAGCGGCATCGCGGGGCGCCTTGATGGGCTTGTGGTCGAGGACGAGGGGGTTGAGGGTGATGACCTCGGAGTGGGAGTGGAGAATATCGACGGCGAGCTGGCGGGGGATGAAGCCCGGGATGGGCGTGACGGTCGTGTAGACCTCCTTCTTGCGGAGCATCTCGTCGGGGAAGGCCAAGGGCCACTGGGTGGTATGTGTCGTTTAGATTCGGATTGTTATCTGCGTAGGATTACGTCGGCTCCAAGTCGCGATGTGGAAGGTGATGGTGGGCCAGGTATGCGAAGCGTCAATGGGTCGGTGTTTGGTGGTTGAGAAATTCGCATGACATATGCGAGAGGGGGATGAGGAAGGGGAAGGAACGAAAGAGATGAAAAACAAATCAAAAAAGAAAAGACAATGACGAGGCCTGCTGACCGGGAGTGCCGAAAATGAAGGATGCCCGAAGAGATAGCCGTTCTCCTTGGGTCATGGGCCAAGCTAAGTAAGGTATGGCGGTGACGGGGTCACAGCCATCCCGGGCTAGGACCCTTCCGACTCGCTGCACTACATAGTACCCAGCCCAGCCCAGCCCAGCCAAGCCCGGGAGTGTCCAAGTGGGAGAACAGTCGAGGGTCGAGGGTCGGGGGGAAAGGATAAAAAAAGATAAAAAGAGGAAAAAAGCTTGGGAAACACACGCCAACACCCCACGAACGAACCAAGGAGCGGAGCGGAGCAGAGCAGAGGCGCACAGGTCAGGATACAGCTTTGGTGCGCGCATTGGGGGGGAGTGGGGGGGGGGGATCATTCTCGGGGCGTTGCGAGCGTCTCACGTCATCTGGGCGGCGAGCACGAACCGGGTACAGATGATCCGCCACCGGTTACACGCCACACCGAGAAGCGCATGCACGAATGGGGGGATTAACACGTTGACGAAGGTCCATCTCGATTCCACTTCTGCCTAGATATTTAAACTCTCCATACTTGGTATCATTTTTCGGAGCGCAAGACGAAGCCGAAGCCGAAGCCGCTGTCATTCTTCTGTCAGGAATACGGATACAAGCCGGTTTATTCTTCGAATTGGCCTTTTACATTACTGCATGGCTCGCTCAGTGACCGCAGGCCGCTAGAGGCTGCTAAGCGAGGCCGCCTGGTCACTAAAGCTGCGCCAACGAGGCGGGGCAGCCAATCATATCACTCGGCTGTCATCCGGTCCGCGTGGGTCCCGCCCCTGTTCAATATGCCTTAGCTAATCAAGATTTTAACCAACTCCACACTGATTCGTGCGCCTTCTCCATGGACCACGGCCCACACCTCTTTCCCCAACTCGTCCCCTTCCCTTCCCTTCCCTTCCCTTCCATCCCTCTCTTCCCCGTCTACTCAACCACCTGTCTTCCTTGGAGCTGAAGGGTAGATACCACTTCCAAGCACACCCAACAAGTCGAAACAGGGTTTCCGAGACACACCCAAGAGGGGCCAAGAGGTGACAGTGGCACCGCACCCCGAGTTGCCATGCTATCACCCTTGGCCTCCCCCGGCTGTTCGTTCCCGATTCTTCAGCTCCCCCCGCCCCTGGGGATTTCCTTGCGGCATGTCCATCACGCCCGCCTCCTGATCGCCCAAGATCTTCTGCTCCTCCAGGAGTCTTGCACGTCCCAGCTCGGGGTCTGAGACGACGGCCCCGTCCGGACACGACGTGGCAGCAGCCACCTCGGGCTGAGCAGCTAACCAAGCACCAGGTCTAACCACCGCTGCAGTGCGATAGGTTCGCCGTTTGGGTCTGACATGTTGGCTCTGTTCGACGAGCTTGCCAACCTTCTTTATCCTTCTTCGTCGCCTGGCCTGCCAGCCTCCCCTGTCCCCGCGCCACGAGTCCAAGGCCACCACCATGGGGTCTGTTGTCAACATGATTGACGTCCCCCGAGACGTGCTGGCGATACCACCTGTCATGGTCGTCGACGCTTGCTCAGCCGTTTGACATCAAGCACCCCTTACATATATGCTGCGCTTCAAAGAGTTGCGCGCATGCCGCTGTGCACCACCTGTTCTCCACTACTGTCCGTCACATGGAGGATCGTGATGGCGGATAGTCTGCGGTGTGGATGGGAATCCCGACTTTGAGAGGCGCCAATAAGCTTCCGGTCCTTCTGGACGGTAATTGTTAGCGGCTTCGCGTATTTGCTGACCAACAAAGTCCGGCAAATTTGGTAAGCCTATCCAATCTAGGCCATCGCTGGTCCTCGTCGCTGCCAAAGTCACACCGCGACGCAGCCCTATGCCAGGCCAGGGCCCTGCGGTGATCTGTTGACTAATCAGCTCGGTTCGGCGTCTCCTTACTGCCCATCGTCGCTCCTCCATGTCTAGATGCCCTCGCAATAATGTCATCTCTCGCCGGCGCTCGCCGCCGACTATGCGGTTCTTGAGCGTGTCGGGCTTTGGAAATCGGCGCAGCGCCAAGCCTGTTCCTGACGCTCAGTCTCACCCGCATGGTTGGCTCACTGGCATGTCTCAAAGCCTCATTCCTCGACCATGCGGCAGCGCCTGCCATGTTTCAACGACGCATCGGTCCCACGTGGATGAGCAACCGAAGCCCACACAGCTTGCTGTCACTCTACGAGAGTTATCTGTGCCATGCCTCAGCAACCCCCGGCAACGTGAGGGACCACGACACGAATCCAAAAACTATGCCGACATGATGCCTTCGCGCCCTGCCGACTGCCGAACATTGGACGATGTTGACATTGACGTTACTGTTACGCTGTCGGAGAGCCGAGCCTTGAAGACATTGGATCCGACTGCCGCCAACCTCGTCTCTGAACTTTTGCCCGGCCGTTTCATTCCGCTGTCTACTGCAGAAAGAGTCGTCAGATTCTAGCCTTGGTAATGCATTTTGCCGGCGGCTCCATGACCCGTCCCAACTGCGCGCGGCCTGTCTGTCAAACCCTCCGGCTCCAAACTCTGAATGCATGCATCCAACTCTTGATAACCGCGGCCGAACCTCTCTTGCACATGGTTGGCCGGGTGGCCGGCCAGTGGGCCTCTTCTTGACATTAATGACCAAGCATCCATCTGTTCCGACTAAGAACAATCTCGGCTTCTCGGAAGGCTCATTCCTATCTCAGGATGCACCAATTGCTAGTGCAGCGTAGCTGTCGACGTTGCCAGTTCGCACAAACAACATGGTTCTCACTTGCCGATTCCACTTGCCGAAGTTGAACAGCTCTAGGTTGCTTGGCGGCAACGAGGACCCCCCCAGAATTACTTACAACTGAGACGACCCAATTGGTCCTCTAGGCCAGCCGAGCTGGGGGTAAATGGCCTGGGCACGTGGGGCATACGACAAACCAAGTGGGTGTTTTCCCCGGGATTGCGGGGGCGGCAGAGGGCGGCAGAGGGCGGCACTGGGCGGCACTGGGCGGGAAATCTGGGGGAGGCCAGCCTTGACTAGACGGAGGGGGCCTAAGATGGAACGCCTTCTCACCAAGGACATGAGTCGATTTCATGAGCCATCGTCTGAATCCCTCCATGCTGGAACCTCATCTCACGGTGATTCCAAAGGAGTTGTGTTATCGTCAAGGACGACCTCCCGCCCTCAACCGACGCCCAAGGCCTCTCTGCACGGTGTCGTCTTTGATACAACTCAGTCCACATTTTGAGGAGAAGAAGCCCCGATCTTCTCGGGTTACAATGCATTCACTACAACCTCATCGGTAGCCGATCCTTACCCCGTAGGACGGGGAATCCAATCTGTAAGGATGCATACCCTGACAGGGTGCGGCTACGCCAAAGCTTCAGCATGGTCCCCAATAGATTGCCCATTTGAACGCTGCATAACAGGGATCATGATTGCAACCCTGCAAGCGGGCATTTTCATTAAATACCTGAATGATATCGCCGTTGGATGAATGAAACCTCTGTGTCACCTCCTTCTCTGAGTCTCTGGGCCGGCTTCGACGACTTGCTCGTGGCATACAAAGACGGACGCCAACCTTGCCTCCTCTCGACAACTCCCGTCGAGGTCACTACGACATCTTGTCTCTTTGCATTCAAGACTCGCCTATCCATAACCTGGAGGCCGATCATGTCTTCTACCGAGAAAGGCGTGCCCCTGGACTCCCAGGTCGAGTCCATCAGTGCTGCTCCCAGTCATGGAATCCAAAACGCAGCCGGAAAGGGCCAGGTCGCGACGGACAAGTAAGTCCTCTTTGTGGCATGGATTCACTCTCGCTGGACTTGCCATACTAACGTGCCGTCGCCAGGTATGGTCATCCCCTTGTCGAGTTCGACCCGGTAGCGGTCCGTAAGCTTCGCTGGAAGCTCGATCTGCACACCATCCCCACCGTCGCGTTGCTGTATCTCTTCTGCTTCATCGACCGAGCCAACATCGGTAAGCCAAGCTCCTTGCCGCTGTCATTCATAGACCCTCCTCTAACACACGCGCCCACCCAGGAAACGCCAGAATCGCCGGCCTCGACAAGGACCTCGGCCTCAAGGGCTACGACTACAACATTGTCCTCTCCGTCTTCTACATCTCCTACATTATCTTTGAGATCCCCGCCACCGTCGCCTGCAAGTGGATGGGCCCGGGTTGGTTCCTGCCAATCACCTCGCTCCTCTTCGGCATCGTATCCATCGCCACGGCCTTTGCCCACAACCGCGCTGCCATCTGCGGCATTCGCTTTCTGCTCGGCATATTCGAGGCCGGCATGCTTCCCGGCATTGCCTACTACCTCTCCCGGTGGTATCAGCGTGCCGAGTTGACATTCCGCCTGTCGCTGTATATGGTCATGGCGCCCCTGGCCGGCGCCTTTGGCGGCCTGCTGGCCTCCGCCATCCTCACCCTTGACCACTTCGGCGGCCTCCACCAATGGCGCATGATCTTCGCCATCGAGGGCATCGTCACCATTATCCTCTCCCTCATCTCCTTCTTCACCCTCACTGACCGCCCCGAGACAGCGCGGTGGCTGACCCAGGAGGAGAAGGACCTCTGCATCGCCCGTGTCAAGTCGGAGCGCGTGGGCGCCACCGAGGTCATTGACAAGATCGACACGGCCAAGCTGAAGCGCGGCATGTTCAACCCCGTCACCTTCCAGATCGCCGTCATCTTTTTGTTCAACAACATCACCGTCCAGGGCCTCGCCTTCTTCCTCCCCACCATCGTCTCCAGCATCTACCCGACCTACTCGACCGTCCAGAAGCAGCTGCACAGCGTGCCCCCCTACGCCGTCGGCGCCTTCTTCACCCTCGCATTCCCCGGCCTGAGCTGGTACCTCGACCGGCGCCAGGTGCTCATCGCCCTGAGCGCTCCCATGGTCATGTGCGGCTACATCATGTTCCTCGCCTCCAAGGTGGCCCAGGTCCGCTACGGCGCGACCTTCCTGATCGCCAGCTCCGCAATGGTCTTGGGCCCCATGTCCAACGCCCACATCAGCGCCAACGTCGTCAGCGACACGGCGCGCAGCAGCGCCATCGGCATGAACGTAAGTTCCTTCTTTGATTCCTCCCGCTCCTGGACGGGATCCCCCAAAGTGATGCGCGACAGCTGACGTCCCCCTGTTCAGGTCATGTTCGGCAACATCGGCGGCCTCATCTCAACGTGGAGCTTCATCAGCACGGACGCGCCCGACTACCCCATCGGCAACGGCCTCAACCTCGCGGCCTCGAGCATGATCCTCATCATGGCCACAGCCGCCTGGCTGTGGATGAAGTGGGACAACAAACGCCGCGACGAGCGGAGCATCGAAGAGGAACTGGCAGGCATGCCGGAGGAGCAGATCCGGGACCTGGACTGGAAGCACCCCGCTTTCCGCTGGAGAACTTGAGAGGGAGGGATATAGAAAGGGATGGAGGGCCTACTTGCAAGAGAAGCGTTTGCGCCCATTGCGATGTGCGATTGAAGCCGTCGCTAAGAAGGGAACAAGGTGGCTGCCCTAGATTTTCTACTCTTCAGAGTTTAGCAAGTGTAGTCAGAACAATTGGATGATGAGACACTGCAAAATTTGCTAAACAATCCGCTCTGTATTAACCTCTATATACCCAGTTTCGACCCGGTGCAACCATGGCGACGGAACTATGCGGTTCTCAGCGTTGCTACAGTTCCTCGCTAAGCGCCACCCTCTCCTTCGCATCCATCGTCAACGGCGGGTCGGACCCAAAGTCGCCCACCTTGCCGAGCAGAACCTCCAGGGCCCGGAAAGAGAAGGAGGGCGCGAGCCGTCCGAGGAAGTGGCCGGCGGTCGGCGTCTCAAAGTACGTGAGGCCGAGCTCGCCGCCGCCGGCGGGCGCGCCCCAGCCGGCGTCGCCGTCGCAGTGGTACGGGACACGCAGGGTCGCCTCGGGCCTGGGCCGAAAGCCGAGCGCGCCGCCCCAGGTCATGTTCTGGATGGCCATCAGCGTGCCCGCGGACTGCACGATCAGGTCGCGGAGGCCGTGGCCGACGATGACGTTGCCGGTCCTCTCGACGACGCCGGGGATCACGGGCAGGCTGCCGGGTCCCGGGGTCTGGGAGCCGTCAACGTCGCCCACGAAGACGGGCTGCCTGCTGCAGAACCGCCATGCCCTGCCGGGCGGGGCGTGGATGGCCTCCTTGACGTCGGGCCGGTCAAAGTACACGGGCTCCGAGGCTGGGTAGTAGCCCGTGACCTCGCTGAAGCCGAGGGGGTCGAAGGGTAGCGGACAGGTGCGGAGGACGTTGAAGACGCTGAAGCACGGGTTCGCGGCGCGCTCGGCCTCGATGACGACCGCCAGGGCGTCGCACTCCGGGACGTAGTCGCCGTAGCGGAACGACCCGGGGATCCTGACGGGCTGGACGCCGGACGCGGGGAAGACCAGGTACCTGCCGACGTAGTCCCTGTACCCGCACCGGTTCTCGATCTCCCGGACGGCCTCGCGGGCCGTCTCGTTCAGGCTGAACGCCGGGCCCCAGTAGTCGAGCACCCTGGACACGGCAAAGTCCTGGCCGAGCCCGTACTGGGACAGCAGGGGGTCCAGGACCATCATGCCCCCAACGTCGAAGTAGTCGCCGTCTGAGTTCCTCCCACTGGCGGCGGCGGCGTCCAGCATGGCGCTGGAGGTGTAGGGCGTGAACAGCCCGCTGTAGGACGAGCCGGCGACGTACACCTCGTAGCCATGCAGGTCGAACGCGTCGACAAAGTTCCGCCAGAAGCCGAGGAACTGGCGCGCCACGTCGTGTTGGTCGGTCGCTGGGACGGGGCCGCGGGAGTAGCCCGTGCCTACGGGCTGGTCGACCCAGACGACGTTGGCGGGGCGGTGCCAGCTCCAGGGGTTGCGGACGGGCGCGCGCGTGCCATGCTTCCACGAGATGGGGCCGTTCTCCTGCAGGAGCTCGCCGATGGAGGAGCAGCCTGGCTGTCTCGTGGGTGCGTCTTTTGGTCAGCCTTTCTATCACAGGAAGCTCGTGTATGTGTGGCGGTTGTCGTCAGCCACACCACGTGCCATGTCACATGAACGAGCTCGAGGGCCCCCTTTATATGGGCCCTCCACCCGGGAGATTCATCTTCCCACAATACAAGCCTTTCTTCACTCACTCGTATCCCCCTACCTGCTGTGTGCTCTAGCTCGTGAGACTTTCTTTTTTATATCCACGCCGAGGGAGAGAAAGAGAGAGAGAGAGAGACGGAGGGAGAAAGGCTTTTGTTCCGGGTTCTCACGCCGCCCGTCAGCCAGATGACGATCTCCTTGTCGTCGGAGGGTTTCTCTTTGGGGAAGAACCAGAAGTACAGCTCCTGCATCTCGTCGTCGCTGGCGGCGGCGTCGATGGGGAGCAGCCCGGCGTAGGACTCGCCGGCGTCAAGCCCACGTTCGGGATGCCCGTGCCATTGACCGCGAACTCTTTTTTTTTTTTGGCAAAATTTAGGTTTCGCTTCGAACGGCCCTGCAAGATTAAATGGTGGGTGGGAGGAGCAGCGACTCACTTGACGTCTTGTCAGTCAGGAAAACATGCTTCGTTTGTGGCCGTCGAGCCGCGGAGGAGGCTGATGCTCCCACGATGCTGTCATGCTCGGAGCCATGGCCCCAACGCAGTCCTCGCCGGTCCTCAGAGTTGAAGACTGCCGAGACCGCCGCAGCCCACGCCGCCAGTGGCGAAAGTTTCTTCATGGCGCAAATCAAGCCACTGCGCTGTGAAACCACGATGGGGAGGGGAGCAATGCTTGAATGGAGGGCAGACACCGAGATGTTTATTTCCAAGCCCCCGCCCCCGGGAGCTCCGGGACTGAGGAAGGGGGAGGATTACCGTGACAATTTCGTCAGCTCGCTTGGTACGCGATTCCACGCCGGACGCGTTGCCCCTAGTCCGCCAAGCCGTTCTGCAATTCGAGAGGACATTTCGCTGACAGCAATGAAGACGCCGGTATACGGACGTCAGTGGAGCCGTAGACGCGTTGGGATAGATAACCCTTGTCGTTCCCGTACGTTGGTCAACTTGGCGACTTGTTGGTCGAAGCGAAGGAACGCGTATGTTGGTCAGAGAGGGCCGAACGGCTTGGCAACAATGATTGACGACGTGCTCAGTTTCGTGATGCCAGCGTTCAAAACCGACCGCCGTGCTTGCAAATGCTCACATGCGAGAAGCCGCTTATCCCACCGGGATCGCCTCGCTGTATTTGCTGTATTCGTAGGGTTGCCTTTTCTTTCAGACAAAAGCGTCTACTTGTCTCGGCATTGACACCCTTATCTGACCGCATCACTCGAGCCGGATCAGCGAAACCTTCTCGCTGGGCGAGGACACGAGGGGGAGGACGACACCCTCGCGAGGGACCGCGGCGCATCCGAGTGGCAGGTTGATAACTTTGTAGGCATAACCTCAGAACGTTTTCTGCCCGTTCTATTTTCTTTTCATTTTATTAAGCATGTGGTATTTTCTTTCCATCCCGTCTTTCCGTCCTCCTCCCATGCACACACAAACTATGCGTTGACGGCCAACATGAAAGATCGAAAACTTGCGTCAACGGAAAGGGTATTTAACGCTTGGAAGAGTAATGTGCGGCATGTGGAAACTCGGAAGCTTCCAAGGCTTTAGCATTCGGACATGAACTTGCGGGATTGACGACGCGGCATTTAACAACATGAATTCGTCATGATTTCTCTCATGATAATCGCAAAGGCTTTCAGACAAGGGGCCTCAGAACTGATGTGGAGGGCCTTGCCTTATAATCAGGAGCTTGCTCCTGTACCTGGCTCTTGTTCTGTTGCCTGTGAGTCAATATGGCTGATCTGTTTCTGCGCGAAGGTGTCCCCTGTCCATCATATCAGATAGGCGGATGCAACCGAAGGCAAGTGGGCTTCAGTCATGCCGTGAAGTGCAGGGTGAAGCCCGTCCACCTTAGCAAAACACCACTTATCACAAGATGTCCGCATCGATACAAGGAATAAAAGACGGCATCTCCCTGGATGGCAGGACTGTCAGAATGGCGCTGTTTTGCAGTGACCAAGTACCCTAGTGCAACGTTTCTCCAGTGGGAAAAGGAAAAGGATTTCAGAAACAGCAACTGCACGCATCGATGTGCATGCGCGGTCAAGAGGCTAGCAGCAGAATGGTTTCCCAGAGACATTATTCGGAGGGTCAGCTAGCCGGAGTAACGCGATAATACAACGGGCCAGTACGAAAGTTTGTCGATAACTGAAGAATCATTCGACAGCCCTACTGTGCAAACCTTACCAAATTGCCAGCTCAGGCAATATCATCCCCAGGCAATAGCACCGGAATCAAAGGCTGATGGCATGAAAACCAACCAACCTTTGGCTTTTGAGAACAGGTATTCAAACTGCCATCCGTTCCTTTCGGGTGAGACGGGTCCATGTAAACTGTCCATTTGAGAAGCATGCATGGGCCGATTCTGACCAGAGGGAAGACGGCGTAACTCCTACCAGTTCATCACTTACACACCAAGTAACAAAAGTAAATAGGTTGACGGAAGATGATTCGCAGTATTTGATGGTATTTGTTTCGCGGTTTTAGCCGGTTTCTCGTGGAAACATTGCAACCGACCTATAAATAGTGTCGTGTAGGCGCTACATTGACTGTCGCGCCGTTTATACCCAGTGCCGACTGGGCGCATGACTAAACAAGGAAGTTTGGCCATTCGGCGGCAGATCCAACCGTTAAGAACTTTCGGGAGCATGTCTATATGGAGCACCGGTAGAACATATCAGGCGGGAGAAACGTCTTCCAGGCGAATCAGACGAGGCATGGGTCTTCGTAGCAACCATATGGCTCACTCATCGGCAAGAGTGGACCTTATGGTGGTTGGAAATCCCGAGCACGGCCGATAGAGAAGGGAGGGTGACTGGGGAGAGGATACCTCTTTGAATACTAAGTTCCAAGTCCGAGACGCGAGGTTGTGATGTCCGTCCTGGCACAAATAGGAGCGGGTGAGCGTTTTCAGGCAAACCACGGCTCATCAACATGTTCGGACACGTGCCCCACGGACTTGCGGTCAAATAAGAAGCTGGGAGGATTGAAATCGAAAGGACGAATGTGTCCCGACGGATGGCTCCAGCATCTGATTCGTGGGCTGCGTAACCACTTTGATACCCTGCACCTCAATGCATCTGTCTGTGCGGCTAGACGATCAGGGAAATCCAGGCCTCGTCCCAACGTTGTCAAGGTTCGAAACAGGCAGCGAATCGACCCGGCGACCGCCACAAAACACTCTGGAAAGTCTATCATTCTGACCTTTCCGTCTCCACGATCGTATCACGCTTGCAACCTCTGCTTCCAAAGTCAGGCCTCATCTCATGATTTGCCCCCTTTTGGGTCGCATCATGGCATACGTGCGCGCGCCCCCTTGCCGTTTGAACTTATAAGAACAGACGCTTACCCGTTTGTTCTTTTCTCCCCCTTCTTCTTGGTTCCGTACTGAATCTGGATTCGGACAACAGGGGCGACTTTGCCAACAACAGCAGCAACAGTCTTTACTCGCCAAGGACGGGCTCAACTTACCGTTATATTAACTTGCGTACAACCTTTCGTTTTTGTTTTAGTAATCATAGCCTTTGCCCCCCCCATCCCCCCCTTACAGAACGCCAATATGAAGACCTACGCTGTTGTTCTCTCCCTCGCGGCCTTGACGGTCGCCCAGACGACGGGAGGAGGTGCCACTCCCGTCCCTCCCCCGATCCCGGCGGCCAATGATACCCCCGCCTGCGCCGAGGCCAAGATCCTTGCTGGTGGCATCGCCCTCAACATCCTAGTCCAGCAGCAGGAGGTGAACAGTCTCAATGCTGTCATTCAGGCGCTTCAGGGGAACCCGGTCAACCAGCAGCAGTTTCAGACCGCCAAGTCGAACCTCTTGTCCTTCGTCAGCGACGGAATCCAGATCCGCCAGTCGAACCAGCTCATTGCCCCTACCGGAAATGCCGCGACGGCAGGGCTCGCAGTGGTACGTCGAGCCTTTCTGATCGTTTTCATCTACAGCTCTCTAACCAAGATATAGGTCGCCAATGCTCAGCTCGGCGAGCTCGAGAAGGCTTCCGGGCTCACCGGAAACCCTCAAACAGATAATGCCGTCACTCAGTCTCTCATGAGTGACTTCAACGGCGGCATCAAGAAGAATATAGAGAACCAACAAAATGTAAGCACAATTCACTTTCACTAATCTCCTGACACGGAGGGGCGGATGAAAGACAAGACTAACACATGCTTTGATAGGCTATCCAGGGTTGCTAAATGAAATGAAGAATACAAGATGCATAATTCTCAAGCTAATGGAAGCGACGGCACGCGAGATGAAGGGTTAAGCAACGGCGTTCAACGGCGTTCAACAGCTATGCGTTCCATTTCTTCCTGGACATCGAAGTGCGGGGCTGAGTGGTAGAGTTTCTTTGGACGAAGTTGATCCGAGGCCGGATCTCGGTCGGGACAGAGGGCATACACAGATTGCTCGAAAGCGCAGTCGTTAGACTGTTGCTTAGTTTATACTGTTCAGCTGGAAGCACCTTGTGATATGAAAAATACCAAATCGATTGCGCTCCCACAGCTCGCCAAAGCCAAAGCTTGGCGAACTTGATTTTTCAGTGACTATTTCTACCGTGGGTGACGTGATAACACATCTCGAAACAATGTTTCATACTTTAAAGCACAGTCATGCAAGGGACTAACGTGGCATTCAGATACCCTGTAAGCTATCCGCGAGATGGATCTTTTGCCTCAATATCATCAATATGTCCTCGAGCAATGTGCTGCCACCTGGCTTTCATATCTCCCAAATTCATTCTGCTGCAATGAGAAAGATTGTATTCGGAAAGATTGTCGGTTACTCCCGACACCCCTATAATTCGATCAAGTAAACACGGTTTGTGTGCAAATAATGCGAGGCGGTTAAATCCGAACGGCTGAGTGATAATACGTTTCTCATTACTATCTTCGACCCCATCCTTTGCGAAAAGGGAACGATGTGGTGAAATTGTATGGCTTGATTATACGACGAAATTATATATGGCTATATTATATGGAGATATTATATGATATTATATGGCGAAAATATATGGCAAGGTAGCCAAGTTTTACTAAACCTAACATTGGCTACCGTACACTACCATTACAGAGTCTGTTCGAATTATTTTCCCCGACTGCACTTGACTGAGTTCGCGGTTGCTGGAAGTGATCGTCTGCGTGTATGAATTCTGGCTCGGAGAGAGTATATCCTCCTGGCTCTCGTTCTCAGCGATGGTGAAGCCAAGATAATCCCTGAGTTTCGGTTTCGGTTTACGTTGTCCAAGCTCATAGGTATGGCAGCCTGGAGACGGGCAAGGCTTGTTCAAAGACGACGGCGAATCTTCCCCGGACCTGGCTGTGCGCCCGGTCCCCCCTTTGGTTGAAGCGAAAGGGTTGCGCCGCAGAATGATTTCGAGGAGCGGATGTAGCACAGGAATCGAACTTGCAATGATAATGGTGCTGCCCTCTACTCTGTATATCCCTCCAGGTCAGACATGTTCGATCGACGCAGGATATTGAGCCTTTCGGGGGGTGGGGCTAGCTTTCTCGAGGGCTTGTTACTTACACAGTCCAAACTACCAAATCAGGGGTTTCGTCTGTTGCATCGCCGGTATTAGTACCCATGCTAAGCAGAAGGGATAGGTTCGAGAAACACTTGCAGGAATAGTCCGCACTTGCCAGTAATGGCAACCGAGTTGTCTTATATATGGCCACAACGCCCGAACTGCAAAAGAATTAGCCAATGAGGCATGGCCTTCGTAAGAAATAGGAGAGAAGGATAGTACACTGTCCCAATTCCCAGCGCGCAAGACAAGGCGAGTTTCTTTTTGAGGCGCATTTGGAGTTTGAATAGTACAATGGCCGGGTATACAGCAAGGTAGACGTCTACAAACGCTGAGAAGGCTGCGTATCAAGTCAGTCTCTAGATTATATCTGGCACCACTGCGCGACTTACTACCGGCGTAGATGGAATAGTTGATGAGAACACTGGGATTGAAGCAGGTGCCTGCTACTGAAAAGTCCCACAACGAGCGTGCTGGCGTACAACGTCCGATCAGAAGCCCAACAGTGGCCACCAGTGTCAGCTGGCACCATATTCCCATCCACCAGAGAAACCACTTGTGGAAGACGCCCGGGTTAAGCAACCGCGTCAGAAAGCTGATGACTGCCAGCTTGGGCAGGCTGAATGACATGATGCCCGGACATTGCGCGGCTGTTGTCCAGAGCATGTTGTTCTGCTGTTGTTCCAGGGTGAGCACGTCCAAGTGCCTGCCGGTACCAGAGAGAACAGCCAGAGTCGAAAGCGATGTTGATACATAGCCGCAAATCTGGAGGGATGTGATTAGTCTGAGGCGCCGGGAAATCAGAGACTAGCCACGCAACTCACCAATCCGAGTATGATGAAGTAGTCGTCGCTGTAGAGCCTGCCGACGAACCGCAACCTCACATATACTCTAGACAGAACGAACATGCTACTGAGAGCAGTGAAGATCCAGCAGACTGAAATGATGGCAGGGCCTCTGTCCTGGGCCTTCCAGGCCTCGGAGCCTTTGGGTGGGTTGGGCATGTTGAGTTGGCGGGTAGATGCACCCTCGGCTATGCGTGTGCAACACAAATCGAAGAATCGGCGCGAACCATAGATTCTGCTGCCGAGGATTCGAAGATGAGCCGTGTTGTCTTTTTGTCTTTATTGTTCGAACGCCTTTGTCCACCGCACCGCGCAAATAACGGTCTAGGGCAGATATCGTTGATGCCCCTGCACGCCACGCATCTCCATCGTACACTAGAAAGCAAACATGGAAGTTTTGCGTGCGCCGGTGACCTGAAAACTTCCAGGATTGCGCGCATCAGACGCCGATGCTGGCTCCTCTATTTATCAGCTTGATTTCCAGGATGGTGCCCAGCTCTTAATCTTGAACGGTGGCTCAGGGGTCGGGGCAGGTGATAACCAATCCCGTCCCAGGTTACATGTGTCATCTCCCTTGTTCATCCTTTCCCTTTTCGGGTGCTCTGTGCCGCTTGTAAACTTCAATATCACCTGCTCCAAACATGACCGATCTAGCAGAATGCAGGACACTAGTACGCAATGCCTGTCATGCAAGCATATAGCCAGGGGCAGCCAAAAGATCGTCAGGTTTGGCCAGACCATGCATCGTGCGTTTACACACCACTGGAACTTTTTAGGGATATATTTGTCCGCTAAACTCAGGATATTCTGGTTTTATCCCGAGTCACTAGCAACGTTCTGCATTCGAAGATTTCGCAGTAGCAGAGGCAGGCTCACCTGTCGGCCCCTTACTGTAACAAATATTGCCTTCCATCGACTTGAATATACCCTATATAGCTCATTAGTCATTGGGCTTTAGTGAGATCGATCAGGGCCATGTGGGTAGTCAGGGGGGCGTGACATGGGTGGTCGTTGTGCTGCCGTTGTTGGTCTACCGATGCATTGGCAAACAGTAGCAATTGCTCATTACAATATGGATCAAAAGTCAACTTGGAACGTCGTGAAGAAGTTCAAGTAAATACTCGTTCGTCAGCTGCGTGCAGTGTTCACATACCTATATCCCACCCATGCCAAGGGAACTTGCCATGGTCCATCGGATCTACCACCACATCCAGTAACTTTCATGGTTAAATCTGACGAGACTAGAGGGTTCAAAACAGTAGGATGATGTCGTTCTGATGTAGTCCAAGAGACAGAGTGTAAAGGATCGATTTCTTGATTGGATGATTACACGTTTCAATGTTTGTGTTTGCTCACAAACCTCTGTTCTGGAGCTTTCCCCAAGACTTACATCACTGATAACGAGATGTGTAGTCAAGGCTGACCCTGGCAAGGTCCATGATGCCCAAGATCCTAAAAAGTACAGCTGGAAAACACAGTAAAACATTTTGCCTTGCTGAACACAGCGAGGGACATCGCTGCGCCGCGAAAAGGTTTGCTGCTCCCTACGCTCGCCTGAAAAATGCATGCCCAAGAACGCCACACAAAAAATCAAAGACACTCTTTTGCTTCCGAGCAAACATTCCATTCCCCTTTGGATTGTCACCGCAATCGACATCATCAAAACCAAGGACGTGGACGGCGCATTGAGCCAATTAGAGAAAAGACGGTGTCTAGGGTACTTCGATTGCCACCAAGCATGCATGCCAACTATCATGACGGCCCTGATTTGTATCGTGGTGCATTCAGTTGTAAAGATCGCCATGAGATTTTGGTCAAGATCATGGCCGTGATCCAGGCCTGCAACTAGTGGTAAATGATAGATGATATCGACTCTGCCAGGGATCCTAGCAGCCAACATTGGGTGGGTTAGGGTGATCCACGTGCCATGAGACTTCCCCGGATTAGGTGGCTAAATGCTTCCTATAAATTTGTCTTTATTATAGATAGAGTGTGTGCCATAACGTCGCTGCACTTAGCTATGATAGGAAAAGCCCAGAAGGAAACACTGGATTTTCACAACAGGTTTAGCTAACTATCTAAGATGGTGAAATCCTAATAGGACGTGCATTCTATCCCTAAAGTTACATGATTTTGCCTAACAAGAGAACATCCCTAGACATACGACACAGACCGGAACCATGGTTTATGACCTAAAACTTACTTCATTATCCTGTGCTTACGTTGCATTTGCCCCCGGGCTGATGTCCTCCAAGTCGTGATGGAGTTGGTTGGAACAGAGGCGGGACTGAACTGTTTTTGTATGCCAAGAAGACCGCTAGATCGGAATTAGCACAGCGCCGAACCCCAAACAGACAGGATTTTTACCCCACATCGCTGAGAAACCAACCATCCGTTTGCCTCAGTTCATTATCTCTGCGTCACTCAAAGATGCCGTACACGAGAAGCCGAACCGGTTGTCTCACATGTCGGTGAGTCATCTGGCGACCTTGGTTATGAACTTGTACCAGTTACTGATAGTCATCGTAGAGATGAAGGTTATAAATGCGACGAGGGCAAACCTTACTGCGGCCGCTGCGTCCGTCAAGGTAAGACGTGCAAGGGCTACGGGTTGAGAGTGAGGTGGAAGACGGCCAATTCTTCAACAGATGGAGGAAGGATTATGAAGAAGAAAAGTTCGAGATCTAGAAAGGAACCAGATCCACGGGATACGTCGTCACCATCACTTGAAACGGTGACCATGACACTGATCTCGACGACGACAATGACGACGACGGCCCTGGACCTTGGGAAGAACAATCTCATCAGAAACCCATCCTACCTATCATTGGATCTCTCGCCAATGAACCGGTTTCTAATTCATCATTGGAACGACTCGTTAGCGAGTGTGATATCGATGTCGTCTGGGACGCAGAACCCCTTCCTCACACACCTCACGCCCATGATGATCCGCTCCAACGCCCTCCTATTTTCAATCTCATCAATGGCGGCAGGGCACTTGGCAGTCCTCCGCGACGACGAAAGCCTGCATATACTGTCCTCGCGACACATGCTCATGGCCGTGTCTTCATTGCGAGAGTCAATTGAGACCGAGGACCCGCAACTGTCGCTGGCGACGATCTTGATGCTTCAGATCTCCGACCGGCTGTTCAACACTCATAGCCAAATTGACCACCTTGCGGGGGCAAAGGCCGTAATCATTCACTCTGGCGGACTCAAGGGTTGGACCAGCTCCAGCGCGCAATTCCTTCTCAGCCTCTGCTTCTTTCATGATGTCATGTCTTCCGTCTCGCGGACGTCGAGACCTCTTCTGAGCATGACGAACGTGGCACCACTCGAAGGGATGCAAAGCCTTGCAAAGCTCACGTCTCTCGTCTCGATCGTGAGTACCATCAGCAAGATGCAAGGACAGAGCGGTGATGCACACCAGAGAAGAGGGCTCGCGATCAGGGAGAGCTTGGAGAGATTCTCCATCGTCGCCGACGGGGACCCCGCCATCGAGAATACCATCCAAGCCTACAGGCATGCGGCCCTGGTCTATCTCTGTCGAGTATGGAGCGATGGCACGTCACTGCCAAAGCCGTTTCACGCGGGGCGATGCCTCCACTATCTGTTACAGGTCCCCGTCACGTCATCCTGCGTATCAGCACATGCGTGGCCTTTATGGACGGCTGGCTGCGAGTCGATCGATCCCGGCCAGCGAGGACTGGTCCTCGAGAGACTCAAGGCGATGTACGAAAACCGTCACTTACCGTCACTGACACGGGCTCAAGAAGATATGGAAGAAGTCTGGAAGGCCAAGGATGCGCAAAGGTTGCAATTTGGAACTGAAAACATAGATTGCTGTAAAGTGATTCTGGATAAACGCCACAGGGAAGCCGATCTAGTTTGACGCTAGCAAGAGTAGCATTCTGCTCAGCTCCTCATCGCATTGTATCTACACCTGCGAAAACAATCACTTTTTCCGAGTAGTCGCAGAGGATTGACCTAGTCCCAAACACGAAGCGATCTTGAAAAAGACATCCGTGTTGTCGTACACACCCGCAAACGTCTCCTGGCATGGACCCATGGCGAACACCGGCACGTCCGTCAGCGAATGCACGCCGGACGAGGAAGAGGTCGGGATCGTTCCGGGGACGTAGAACCCGTCCTTTCCGTCCTCAGGGTTCGCGACGTAGCCGTCCTCGTCGTTGTCCACAACCACCCGACGAGGGGACTCATGCAGGCGGTAGTTCTCACGGCGGTCGGGGCTGGCGCCGAAACCTGGCGCTATGGCGTAGCGGGGGCTCCAGTTGAGCGGGAAGTTCGGGCCGGTACCATACTCGATGCCGTCGGGACGCGAGACAGTGTACTGCGAGAGGCCGGAGCGCTCGTAGATGCCGATGGCGTCGCGTTTCTTGCGATCCGTATCTTGTGCGGCGAGGTACTCGGTGTCGGCGACGCCGAAGACGTCGAAGCCGTGGCCGTGGTCCGCCGTCACGATGATGAGCGTGTCCTTGAGTTCGCCGGCGTTCTTAAGCTTGTCAATGGTCGCGCGGATCGTGTCGTCAAACTCAAGCAGGTCCCCGAGGGCCCGGTCGTAGTCCAGAGCATGCATCTGCTTGTCTATCGAAGCCCCCTCGGACATGAGGAAGAAGCCGGTGTCGTTGCTGCGCTCGAGAAGGATGTCGACGGCCTTGAGAGTCATCTCTTTCAGACCCGGTAAGTCAAGGGGCGCGGAACCGTCGCCGGAGGGATGGGTCTCGAGCCTGGCAATGTTCTCCGTGAGGATGTTACGGTCGAGCCAAACGGGCAGATGGGAAGTGGAGAAAACGCCGAGGGCCGGAGTGTCGGTTGGAGCGTCGCGAAGGGACGTGGCGTTCCAGCTCACGGAGTAGCCCTGCTTACGGAACTCTTCGTAGTAATCCTTACCCTGGTAGGAGGACGGTCCCGGGAGAAACGTCGAAGCGCCTCCACCAAAGTAGACGTCAGGTCCAGGATGGCTACTCCAGGAGTAGTTTGTCATTCCATTGAGAGCTTGGTCGATAAGTGAACCAGCGTTGGATCTGGATCTACTGTGGCCAGTTAATGCAGCGGGCGTGGCATCGTCAAGAGCAGCTGTAGTGACCGCTCCCCAAGCAGATCCCTTTAAAAATGTCAGTAACAGAGAATCATGATCATTCGAGGTGTGAGCTCACCCAGACACGGACTACCATTTCCACGATCGTCTCGACTTTAGGATCGTCGAATTCATCAGCCGACGAATCGGAATAGACACTGGTGGTCAATTAGCATTGGACTTCCCACTCAAAAGATTCCTGACATACCCCATGGAGTCCGAGGTGCCCTTGTGTCCGGAATACAGCGCCGAGGCCGAGTTCGCACTGTCGGTGATGAATGTGTCAACAGAATGGGTCTTTCGTCACGTCAGCTTCCTTGACCACATCAACAAGAAACACAGGCCAATTGGCCTACCATTTGGTGTCCCAAGATGGGAAACTGGTCCATCTGCATCCGCGACTGGTACTTTCCATTGACGCTCTTGTGACCCAGTAGACGTGCCGCTGTGATCATGTTGGTTGTCATCCCGTCGCCGATGAACAGGATCACATTCTTCGCCTTCTTCTCTTCGGCGAGTGGTCGCACGAACCACTCCGCCAGCGTCTTCTTTGTGCCGTTGTAGTAACTCAGCTCTACAGTATAGTTGCCCGGTTCGTATAGCGCCAGGTTGCGATACGCCTTGGACGCGACATTGACAACCGACTGGGTTCCCGCGTCCTGAGCGAATAGGTCCTCGTACCACGAGAACTTCCACGTCTCCAGCTCCGGCTCCTCCTTGATCCCGAAGAAATCTGTGACGGGCTGGCTGTCCGGTCGGCTATTGCTCGTGATGGCGAGGGAGAAGTTCGGGTCTGGAACGCCGCCGTTGAATGCCTCGGTGCCGTTGACTGGCGCATGGATTTCGACGCGGATGTCAAAGTTCTGGCCTGGCAGGAAGTGAGCCTGGTCCGGTGGGAAGACGCAGCCGAGGTCTGGACAGGCGCCGAGCCTCTGGAATGTTTGGCCAAGGGCTATAGGCGTGGATGCCAAGAGGATCAACACGAGAGTAGACATCATAGGATGCGAAAGGGGGGTGATTCCACGTGAGTAAGGGGACCAAGATTGGATGAATCTGGGTCAACGTTGTGGCCGATGATCTCATATGTCAGAGAGGCATTGTACCATGGCGGTATATATAATGGAAGATGTCACGGGGCAGTCGGCTTCATTATTCAATCATACGGTCATTTCACATTTCAACTAACTCGACTTGGAAGGACGAAATACATGCCGCGCACGCATCTTCCACATTTACGGGGGCTTGGAGTTGAGCCCCTCAAGCGAGGACCAACTTTCTGCGATCAAGAGCCAACGTATCACGGTGATGGGATCGGCGTCGTTCTAGTAGCCAGTGAAATGTCTGTTTTGGGGCGGGGGATGACAGCCATGCGTGGGCAGGAGTTCTCTTGGCTTGCAGCTTCGTTGCTGCGTACCCCGCTCACCAGCGGAATTTCCCCTCACAAGACGACAATAAGCACACGAGCAATTGCTTATTTTGGGAGAGTTCGTCTTAGAATTGGCTTCCTGGCTCTCGGCTTAGTGTAGACGCCGTGAACCGGGCTGGGCGCTGGGACGCGCGGGTGAGTTGATTCCTCGCTGGCAGTTTGCGGCGCCATGAAGGAATCATGACAATGGTGTAGCTTAAAGTGGATTTCTAGTGTTGCTTGTGAGTATGTCGGTGCGGCTAAGGTGTACTGCTCTGACGTAACGAGAGATTATATGGCCTGCTGGTCACCAATCTGCATTCTTTTACAAGGAAACTCTGGAACCTCTCACTATCTATATCTCCGGGTCCGGAATCTAGCTCAAAAGATGTCTGAATGTTTGATCTTGTGAAGCCTCGCTGCCAGGCTGCTAATGCTGTACGATATCAAAAGACAAGAAGCATGAGGGGTTGAGGCAACTCTTCAAGCTCATGGAAAATTCCTTCAATTGCCAAGAAAGGGCATCTCCATGGCATTGCCGCCAAGCTCTGATCATGGTCAACGGCAGAGACGCCAAGGCGAGCGCCATTTGCCAAGACCGTGATAACCCTTCTCCCACAAGTCACACAAATTGCGCAGGGAGATATTAGGTAGGTCGGCGTTGGCAAAGCAGATTGTACCAAGCTGCCGGGATACGCAGAGCGTTAGTAGCGATACCGATGACTGCAGATCTTGTTGACACAGTTTGAGTCTCGCAGAGAATATCATAGCTGCTACGTAGGAGACAAAGCTTCTGTGATAAATGTGGGGAACATGATTAAAGTCATAGAGATGGAAAAGATGCAGAAGACTGATATCCCGGAAAATCTCAAGAATTGGCCAAGTATTAGGATGTCAAAGCAGCACAAAATGTCGACCCAAGCAGTCCCTCTCATCGTAACGCTCAATCCTCGTCGTCTGACTCGACGTCGCCAACAAGTGACTGCAACATTTCCTTGATTACCTCGGCGGTTAAAGTCTCCTTATTTGCCCTCACGATCGATGCGGCCGAAGACACGGCATTTTTGATCTAACAGCACATGAGATTAACTTGGAAAGCTGGCTTATCAGGAGGGGGGTGCCCACCTCGCGACCATTCATCGGTCTTTCAGCCAAGCTGCTCAGATCAGCATCGCTGAACAGTAGATTGTCAACGAGCGATGTGACGTTGCCCAACATTTCCTGCCAGATCCTAAGCCGGTATTCTTCACTCAACGCAGGGTAGTGGAACCTAAAATGAATGCGGCCTGTGTTCAAAAGATGTCAGCATTGAACAGATAACCCATCGTTCCTTGATAATCAACGAGCTTTGGGAGTCATCTTCCTAAGGTAGACGTCAACTGACTCTTGAAAGCCTTATCAATATCTTTCCTTCGGTTCGTTGTCAGGATGACAATGCCTTGAAAGTACCTGAAATATCTGTTAGTAATGAGAGTAGCGCCATCGGCTCTTGATAACATACTCAAGTCTGCGTAAGAACACACTGACGAGAGCATTTCTCTCAAGTTGAGCCTCCCCTCTCTTGAAAAGAAAGACGTCGGCCTCATCAATCAAGAGCACACAACCCCACCGCCGTGCGATGTCAAGCACCATTCCCAACTGCTTATCTACTTTATCGACTGACGTCCCAAGCTCACCTGCTGAGATGACATATAGCGGTCTCCGCGACAGTTCCGCAACTACCTCGGCCGTCAAGGTCTTCCCCACGCCAGGCGGCCCTGAAAGAAGACCTACAAGCCCTTTACCTTTGCCAATCACGATGTCGTCAAAGGCCGTCTCGTTGGTCCTATGGCTTTGAACGAGCAGTCGAATCATTGTCTTCTTCTGCTCGTTCATGATCAACTTGTCGAACGCCTTCATATTCCAAACAACCTGTTGCGTTCTGGACACCGCGAACCCACCCCAACTCTTGGGTGTAAACCCAAAACCCTGGACTCGATGGTTGCTAAGCATGACTTCCTCGTCTGTGAGGCTCTTGCCACTGATTTGCCAATCCGCAAAAATCCATGGCATGCTTATCATTCTTTCGTTGGGTCTTTGATTGTAGAATGTCGCTGGGTCCGCCATGATTCGGCCGGTTGAAGCAAACTGGATTTCCATGGCCTTTCCGTCAAGATTGGTCTCTTGTCTGACAGCAAGGCCACTGTACTCGAGGCAAACAGGCTGACTAACAATGTCGACATACTTTCGTCCCCGTTCTATGAGCTTCTCTTGAAGTTTCTGTTTTTCGGGATGATAATTCAGTGGGAAGGAGTCAAGGCCGGTGATTTTCTTCGTCCCCGTGAAGTGGGGAATCTTGAAAATCGGAAATCCCCAGCCAAATGAATCACCATCGTGGTGAAGCATCTTGCCCTCAATCCGATACCATTTCTCACCCGTAGGTTCTTCTACGTAATCTCCGCTGAAAAACATATAAGCCTGCGATTCTTTCATGGTATTAGATTCGGTATAAACGACTGCTCGAGGTGTGAAAAGCGCCCAGAGTAGATCGTAAGTTATGTCACCGAACTCCAAAAGCGACTGCATGTTCGATCTCGTCTTTGCAAAGTCGGCATCCAAGAACTCTAAGGCAGCTGTGAGATCCTTGACGAAATCATCAGCGCGATCAGGCTTGTCTATCTCTTCGGATAAACGCTCCTGCAGACCTGGCCAAGCGTGGTAGAGCTGTCTAGGGGAAAGCTGTAGGAAGTCAGGGACCAGTATGCATAACATGAAAAAGGGATTGCTTACCTCAGGGGGGCTCTTGGCAAGCTCTAAATCCCCCAGACCTTCAAGAAGCCCTCTTAGAAGCTCCGCTAGCCTGGGGCTCTTGATATCGACGCGTTCATCCGCAACCAGCCCCCTGGAACTGATAATGCGCCTTACCACAATTGAGTATTTGCTGAACTTTGACTCTTCAGTTCTAACCTTGGCAGTCTTGACGTAGCGCCATTGGCGGTCTTTCCTGCGGTAATAACAGATGTAAACATTGACGCCCCCGTTCACACGGATTGAGCTCCTCTTACCGACTGAAGAATTGATCAACGCGAAGAAGCTTTTTGCCCTGGGAACTGGAATCGCCCCCAGGAAGTTCCTCCGTCTTCTCGTTGTCCCCCATGTCTGTACCGTGATGAGTCCGTAGGGAAATGGCCTGGAATCAAAGAAAAGATGGCTGAAGAGAAAGGGGAGTCAATCGGTCGCTGAGGTCAAAGCTAGAGACACCAGGAAAAGGCTACAAACATCGGAGCCTGAGGCGTGAATCTCATTATGCAAGTGGGCTTCTAGATGAATTGCTCCCTATCTTTAGGCAGAAACTCAGGGCTCAGCGGGTAATTGCCTCGTCGAGCAGTGTCAGGCATTGCTCATTGACCATAGAGGATGTCGTATATTGCCGCATCTGCTAGCACGACAAGCGATGGATAGCGCCGCAAAATACGGTGTCATTGGATAGCTGAAACTGCAAGCGCCTATCGGCATAGTCTAACTGGCTCACCGGACAAGGGGTGACATGCCAATTCCACACGTGTAATATTGATTATGCGCGCCAAGCAAACCAGAATGTTGATGTCCAACCACAAGGCGGATGAACCACACCATTGGTGTTATGATGGCGGTCAGCCGTTGCAACGCAAGGCAGGCTGTGAGGTCGAGCCAGGGCCGATGGTTAGATCAGGCTGCAGGCACCGGCTCCAAAACAGGGAAAAGAATCCTTCCAGTATGAACGATTCGTTACTGCGCACTAGCAATGGTAAATGGACATTCCAGTACATGAGCAGCGGTATGCCGCAGCCCCTTAGGGCTTCCTATGCTTCGTTTCGTAACCCAACATTATATGACTATTGACGGCACTTCCTCCTGAGTTACGCGTGATTTGAGTGTTTTTGTTCTCAATTCTGCCCCCCACCGAGTAACGCCTACATGCGCCGATAAAAGCCCTTGTTGGGCGACGTTGGCAGAAGATGACACGGCTATGGCAAACGGACTCAGCTTTTTCGGAAGCTTTATATGAGTTAATTCCCGAGCACACAAAGAAGAAGACCCCCCAGTTTATTCAAAAGATTCTTGAAGGAGAAGTGACCAATCCCGACGATGTTAACGTGAAATTGAAGGAGTGGCAGAAGCTTGATTCCCAGCGGGCGCAGAAGCTGAAGCCCATCTTTCATGCAATCAACGACTACGATGGCATCATCGGAATCCTGTGTAGCGCGGACCCTTACCCATCGGCGCTGATCTGGGGCGGCCTCAAGGCGGTTGTCGAGTGCTTCCGACGATACTACCAAGTCTTTGACCAGCTCGAAGGGCAACTCAAGTCTCTTACGCACCACTTGAAGCTTCTAAAGCAGTACGAGCAATTGTTCTCTGAGTCCGAACACATGAGAGATCTCCTGGTTGCGTCCTACAAAGGCATCATTCGTTTCTGGATCAGGGTCGAGGATCATTGCATGACTCCCGGGTTCGTGCGAGCGCTCAAGACGGTGACCTCAATCAGTGTCACCAAAATCAATGAGATCATCGCGGATATCACGGACACAAGCAAAATCATTGAACGCCTCGTTCCAGTAATCCAGGAGCAACGACGTAGAAAGGAGAGAAATGAAACAGTGGTGGAGAGGCAAGATGTGCAAGACAAATTGGACGAACTGCTTCGGAGAGCATCGACCAAAGATAACGGTAAGATGGGTTTTATTCCTGAACTTGTCCAAAGTAAATACTGACAAAGCGATGTAGTCGAAAGATGGAGCAGGGTTTGTGAGTGGATTATGGGCAGAGACGGATGCAAAGTGAGCGACGGCATCGATCGCCCTTACGACCAGCATGTGCAGACTCGAATACCCAAGACTGGGACTTGGTTGTTAGAGGATGCTCAATTCCGCCGCTGGGTGGAGGCTGGGTCCGAGGCCAACATCCTTTGGCTTCGTGGGGGTGCCGGGGTGGGCAAGTCCACGATATGCAGCCAGATCGTCGACAGGCTCGAGAGCCTACGCCCGGAAGCTACGGTAGCCTTTCATTTTTTCAGCTTCAACGAGGAGCTGTCGCCAACGCATGTATACCGAAACATAGCGCGCCGGCTTTTCTTTTCCGTCTACGACAACGAGGGGGACGAAATTTCGGAGGAGGTTCTTGAGCTTCTGCGACTGGACCCCACGTCCCTCCGAGCGCTGCAGAGAATGGTCGCTGTCTTGGTCGCAGAATCCAAAAGCTGCTTCATTCTTCTGGATGGCCTGGATGAAGAGCTCGAGAACTCCAAAAAAGAACGATGGCAAAACGCAAGTGCAGTCTTGTCCTTTTTCATCAACCTCGCGTCCGAGCCAGATTCGGGGCTGAAACTCTGGTGCAGCTCTCAGGATCACAGAGCCATCCGCCAATTAAGTCAAAGCACCCACTTATGGCCCCCCCCTGCATTTGGCCTACCCCAAAAATGCCTCCTAGCCACTGACTTTCTAGATAACCTCTAAATTTAAACTATTACAACATTTTTAATTTTTTATTAAATCACTTTATTTTTTTAGAATACCTTCTTTAATACCTTATAGTCTAATATACTAAAGATAAGGTTAAGGGGGTAATTACTAACATTATAAGTAGTGTATCTTATTAGGTTACCTCTAAGTAATAGGGTGTACTATAATTAACACTTTAGTATTATATAAATAGTTACTAATAGTAATTAGTTACCTTTAAAGACCTTTAGTAACTATTAGCTACCTAGGAGGCTAGCCTAGCTACTTAGGTAACTACCTAGGCTAACCTTAGTGTAAAGGTATGGGTGGTGTGCCACGCCTGTCAATAGACCATTCTGGCATTGCCAAAAGATCAATCAGTTCAGGCACTAAGTGCCTGAAATGCACCACACATGGCCTTATAAAGGGTAACCAGGCTAACCCCCTTACAATTGCCCCCCTTCTAATACGACGCGTCCCAAGTCGCTTCAGGCCCACGTGCACTGGCGCCGGTAACCGTGCGCTGGAGCACAAGGTCATGTTAACCCCAAAGGCCCTAGGCGCCTGGCACCTGGCGACAGCTGGGGGACCCCCAGCTGGCGCTAGGCTTGCCTATCGCACATCAGTCCCTCTAAGCCTAACGTAAGCTGCCCCTCATTCATGCCTAGCCAACCAATCCACTAATTGATGACCTTCCAGCCCCTTAAGGCCTACACTAAAGAGAGTCTCAACAGGCGGGATTCAAACCCAGCCCCTGTTAACAGCCAGAAGACCCACTTAGTGCCTAAACAATTATAAAGGTATAGGTGGTGTGCCACGCCTGTCAATAGACCATTCTAGCATTGCCAAAAGATTAATTAGTTCAGGCACTAAGTGCCTGAAATACACCACACATAGCCTTATAAAGGGTAACCAGGCCAACCCCCTTACACTTAGGCTGCTACTAACCTATTAATAACTTAAGGACTTTACTTATTATATCCTTTATACTATAGGGGATACCTAACTTATAGGTAAGAGATAAGTAAATAGCTTTATTAAGAGGAACCTATCTATTAAGGTCTAGAGAAGTTAATTTATTAATTTAAGGCATGTTAATAAGGTATCTACTAAGGTTATTAGGGACTAGTTTAAATATCTTACTATACTTTATATCTAGGCTATTAACCTAGCTAATAGATATAATATAGATAAGACTAGTATCCTTAAGGGTAAAAGTAATAATAGGCTAGTGCTAGGTAAGGCTATAATATATATAGTAAGGAAAAAGCAGCCTAAATTAAAGGCCTAGGTATCTATTATTAAGTGTATATTTACTAAAAGTAATACTTTTTATCCTTTAGTTATATATAAGGGTAAAAAGGTCTAGTAGTAGTAGTTATTAAATAGTAGGGATTATAATAGTTACTTAATTCTGTTATATGTTATATATCTATAGTAAATTACTATAGAAATAGGGAAAACCCCTTATTTCTTAGTTAGGAAATCCCTAGCTAATCCTAGCAATATTATTAGTAGACTTACTACTAGAAGTAGGGCTAATTCACCGCCTATTCCCTAACAATTCGCTATAAGGTAACTATACATTTACTAGCTAATTTATATATAATTCTACTACATTTAACACACCCCCTTAGCGCTAGTAACGTAGTTAATTACTATAGAGCCTACACTAAATATCCTCTATATATAGCCTATTTATTTATTAATTATCCTTTAATATCCTATACGTTTTCCTCCTTTATCTAGTAGTAAAGCTTTACTTTATTATTAGCTAATTCTTACTATTAATTTACTTTAAGGCGTATATATTAGTTACTTATATTTAATTAAGCTATAAATATAGTAAATTATAGCACGCTAAGCGCCTTTATTAATTTATTAGCTATTAATTTAGTAGACTTCTTATATTTAATAGTAATCTAATCTACTACTACTTCTTATTATAGCTAGTAGTTATAAATATCTATATACTATAGCCTTATCTATAGTTAGATAAGCTCCTTAGTAATAAGCTTAATAGTCTAGGTATTATTATAGCTAACGTAAATAGTTAGTAGCTATTTAGTAGCTACCTACTTATTAAGTAATAATTTAGTTCCTATTTATATTAACAGTTAAATACATAGCGTAGTAATTAATCTACTAGTAAAAAGCGCCTCTTTTATAGTAAATAATAAGGCTAGTAATTTAGCCTTAGTAGTTAACGTTATTACTATATCTTATTTATTAGCTTACTAGAAAATAAGCCTTTTAAATAGCTTTAGCGTATACACTTATAAGCTATAATAGTCTAGTAAGTTATTAGTAAATAAGGCGTCTAAAGTAACCTCTAATATATTATCTTTACTACCTAGCGTTACTTTATATTTAAGGTAAAAGTGCTATGTTTAGTAAAGATATCTAAGTACATAATTTACTACCTTTTAGTAATCTAGATTTAGATTATAGTTAAAGTAGGTAAGCTAGCTAGCTATAAAAGTAATATCTAGATAAGTTATTACTACTACATATAGGATTATCCTTACCTTTTTTTAATATTAGTTAACCTCTTATAATAAGGCTATATATTTACTAGGTAGTAGCTTAGCCTTTACTATAAGTAATAATTTATTATATTTATATTTATTATTTATTAGTAGTAGTTTTATTATTTTATTATAGTATACTACTTATAAAAGCTAGAGATAATAGTTACTTTAGTTATAAGTTACCTTAAGGCTAAGGAACTACTATAATAGGCCTCTGCCTTTAAGGTAGTATTATTACTAAAAAGCTGCTATCTTATTACTTACTTACGCTTTATCTATATAGTAATAGGCTAATATATAGTTATTAATATAGAAAAAGAATATAATATAATCTTTCTTCTAATAGTAGTTCTTACTAGGCACTTAGTAAAAGCCTTATATAGTAAGTCCTTCTTTAAGGTGCTTTTACTATAGTAGTAGTAATTACTAAAGCCTATAAAGTGCTTTTAATAACTAGAAGATCTAGCTAGTAATTTAGTAGCCTAGAGGTATCTTTATAAATACTACCTTATTAATAGTAGCGTAAATAAACGTATTTACTATATTATATTAAAGTAATTCTAGATTAAAGTAAGCAGCTATTACTATAAGTATTTTAAATAATATACCTACTAATATAGCTATATAGGTATCTTATAGATCTTTTACTTATTAGTTACTATAGACTATAAGTCTAACTTTAAATTTAGTTAATTAACTATATTTATTAAGCTTATAGGTATATACCTAATAGCAGCTAAGGATTTAATACCCTTTAGCTACTACTTATAGCACTATTACCTAAGATTTTAATATTTTATACCTATATAAATATACTTTTTTAGCGTCTTTAAATTACTTTTTATATAGGTAGCTTTTTAACTATCTATAAATTAGTAAAAGGTATAGTAACTTCTAATATATACCTATTAGTCTATAAAGTCTAGTAACTTCTTTATTATATACTAGTAATTTACTAGTAACGTCTTTATAATTATTATACTTATTAGGCGTTATATAGTTAATTAAGTAGCCTTAGGCGCGCTTTAGCTAAAGGTAGTAATCTTTACTTATTAGTTAACTTTATAATATACTAGACTACGTTACTACCTATAAGCTGCCTTATATATAGTCTATAATCTTTTACTATAAAGTAAGCCCTATAAGGAAAGCAGCCTTAAATAAAGTCCTTAGCGTAATCTAACTACCTATATACGTAGTAAGATAATACCCTTTTATAACGCCTTTAAATAAGGTTACTACTAGCTAGAGATTACCTAATAGGCTAGCTATAGTTACTTAGGAATTAAACACCTTTTTACGCTTAGTAACGTCTTATAAATTAATTATATAAGGATATGTAGGAGCATAAGAGCAACGAAGTGAGGCACAATAGCAATGGTATTGTGGTGATCTGTAGTGGTGTGTGTGGTGAGGAGGAAAATCCTCCTCTCAAGGCTATGGGCAGAGGCTGGATGAAGGTGAGGGGCCCAGGAGGTCACGTGACCTCCTAGCACACGGGCCCCCTCACAACACTCCCCCTCAGGCTCTACTAACTTAATGAATATCGTACATAGGGGCAAAATAACAGCCTAATCTAAAAGCCTCTAAATCTAAGGAGTTTTTAAAGTATTTAACAACTTTAGTAATACGCTAGCAATTATCCTATTAGTCTGGCAACAATTAATCCATACGCTAAAGTCTACGTAATACTAATCTACTAATATATATCCTCTATAATATATATCCTCTATAATAGCCTATATAGCTCTTTAATCTAACCTATTTACTATACCTAGTAACTATATAAAGTCTTTATATTTAGTTAGTACTAGTGGCTTAGTAAGACTGTTAGTAGCTATCTTAGTGCCCTTAATAAGTTAGAAGGTAATATTCTTTTAGGTGTAGACCTCTTATATTATCTATTTATATTAGACGTTAATGCTTTAGGTATATACCTTATTAAGGGGATTTATAACGTTAACTATTATATTAGTACTATTAGTAAAAAGGATAGTTAGTATATCTATTAGTTAGCTAAAAAGCTACTTAGTATAGTAGTAAATCTACTTTATAGTAATAGTAGTAGGTATAAGGTTAATAAACTCTACCTTTATAAAGCTTAAAGTAATAAAGGTCTACTTCTTTAACTTCTAGGTAATTAGTAATCCTATAAAGTAGATAATATATCTACCTATAGAAACCTATAATAGGTAATTATTAGTAAAAAAAGTATCTGCTATTACATAGAGGCTAACGTTAGTAGAGGGGTTAAGTCTACTAAATAAGATACTATAATAGGTAGTGCCTTTAAGATAGTAAAAAAGATACTTAATAGCAGCTAGATAGGCAGATAATAGGCTAGTATTAGCCTAAAAAAGCTTACTAACTATAAAAGTAATATCTAGGCGTATACTAGTAGCTAACTAGTTAAGGCAGCTAGTCTACTTAATATAGGTTTATTAGTTAGGTTTAAAACACTTATCCTTTACCTATATAGTAAGT